TCTTCTTCTTCTTCTTCTTCTTCTTCTTCTTCTTCTTCTTCTTCTTCACAGAACACAAAAAATTAGAATAATAGTACTACCAACATTGTAGGTTTGCTATGAGAATTAAATGGATTAATATTCGTAAAGCACTTAGAAGAACGCTTGATACCTGGTAGGCACGAGAGAAGTGCTAAGTGAATTTTTCCAAAAGGGAACTCTGATGTCAGCGCAACTGGTTGCTGATGACCTTTTGCTTTTCTGGTCCACGACTGGCGGACTGGACGCCATGATACTGGCGCCTCTTGTTAGATTACAATTGAAAAAGGAATCACGATGGTGAAAAGGACAAGAAAAATGGACTCTATAGAGGTTTTTTTCAAGCCCGAATGCTCTATAAAAGGAACCCTTCAATTCTCGATGCTTTGGGGTCCTTCTCTAATAGTTGTCTCTACAACCCTTAATCCCTAAAGGCACTGTAGAAAGGAACACAGGGACCGCAGGAGAAAACCACTTTTATTGCCTGGGTCGGGAGCCTAAAACCCCGCGAGGCCCCAAGCGTGCAGAATTCTCGAGCGGATCGCCGCCGCCCTGTGCCATCTGCAGAAAACTACGATTCCCAGAAGGCTTTGGGCCCCGGGATTAGGGGTGGACCTCTAAAAGGGGCGGAGTCTAAGAGAAGGTCGTTGGCCGGTTCCACTGCCCGGAGCTGTAGGGGTCGCCTGGGCGGAGTTGGGAGGAAAACTGCCTCCCGATTGGCTGTGAATAGAAAGGTCGGCGTCTAGGGCGCGGATGGTCGGGTCGCGGGGATCCCGGACGCCGAGGCGGGAGCTCAAGTCTCCCGGGTCCGGAGCTTAAATTTCCCGGGCGGGGAGCGCGGGGCCTGCCGGGAAGGCGCCGGGTCGGTTGTGCACCCGGCGGCGGCGGCGGCGGCGGCGGCGGCGGCCGACCGTGGGCTTCGCCATGCAGAGCACAGACCTGGGCAACAAGGAGAGCGGCAAGCTGTGGCACCGCAAGCCTTCCCCGGCCGCTCGGGACGGGTAAAGGCGGCGGCCTGCGGAGGGGCCTGGAGGCCGGCGAGGGGCGGGTCTGCGTCCTTGCAGCGGCGTTGGAGGCGCTGTTGGGGAGGCTCTCGGGAAGGGGTGCAGGGGGCCGGGTGGAGGTTCGGGCTCGGCCTCTGACCCTGCCCCGGATCCCTGGCCCGGATGATCTCTTGAAAGGCAGGAGCCTGAGTCCTGCTGTGCTCCGGACGCCGAGGTCGTCAGAGACCCCTTCCCGGTCGTGGGGCGGGGGTCGGCGAGGCGCGCGCGAGAATTTGTACCGGGGCTCTGCCTGCCTGAATTATCGTAGGAGCCCTGTAGCCTTCCCGGCGCACAGTAGATAGATGCTCAGCAAATATTTGTTAACGATTGCAGCTGGAGAAGAACTCAGGACGAACGATGCAGGGACAGGGGAACAGTGCACGTCTACCCCTTCCGAATGCTGCAGCTTACCCATCTTAAATCATCGTTTATATTCAGACAAGCATGCATCCATCAACTGTTGGTTGAGCACCTACTCTTTGCCAAGCTTCTAAGCTCTGGGGGACAGCAGTGGAACAAAAACTCCCGGTTTTGTGGCGTTTACACGTTAGCGTGTATGGCGGTGACGACAGGGGGTTACATCCTGCAGTGCGAGGTGGCCCTTCTGGTAAGGCCAGCGCTGCTCCTGCTGCTGCTGCTGCTGCTGGTTGCCTTTGTTCGTTTTTAAGTAGACTTTTTTTTTTTTTCCTTAGGACAGCTTTAGGCTCACAGCCAAATTGAGAGCAAGGGACAGAGATTTTCCCATATACCACCCTCCACTCACACATGCATAGCCTCCCCATTATCAGTATCCCCCATCAGAGAGGTGTTTTTATTGCAGTTGATGAATCTGCATTGACACAGCATCATCACCCGAAGTCCACAGTTGATGCTAGGATTCACTTTGGTGTTGTATGTTCTGTGGGTTTGGGCAAATGTACAATGACATATATACACCATTACGGTATCATACAAGATATTTTCACTGCCCTAAAAGTCTTCTGTGCTCTGCCTGTTTTTCCCTCCTTCCCCAGCTCTTCTTTTCATTCTGATCCCAGATATTGACCTGTTTGAGTCTTAGCCACTGAAGACTTCAGTGGAAACCTTTGCCCCAAGTGGTGCCATCTTGGTTCCATTTGCTGCACACAGATCGATCCTATTGCTTTTATTTTTTTTTAGTTTTTTATAAAGATTTTTATTTATTTATTGAGAGGGAGAGAGAGAGAATGAGAGGGAAGAAGGTCAGAGGGAGAAGCAGACTCCCCGCTGAGCAGGGAGCCTGATGTGGGACTCGATCCTGGGTCTCCAGGATCATGACCTGAGCCGAAGGCAGTCGCTTAACCGACTGAGCCATCCAGGCGCCCGATCCTATTGCTTTTAATTTCCTAAGATTTCATGGCCTTTGCTGCATCACTTGAATTCATGTTTCTGTTCCTGGTAATTTTTCTGTTGATCCTTTGGTTGCTTCTCAACAAATCAACAGACTTCAAGTGCCAGCTGTGCTTGCTTGAACCACCCGGCCGGACGTTGTTAACAGCTTGTTTGGTTTCTGGTTGCTGTCAGCCCCCTAGCAATGCTGCTGTCCCATCAACTCTATTGAATAAAAATTTTTGTTTAGAGTAGGGATTCTTCAGTAGGGATTTTCATTTCCAAACTTGGAGTTTATGTAAATACTACCCCTACTTCTTATGTTCTCTAAATGTTCTGAAAGTTATTGCCAAGCCACAGTAATTCTGTTTCTTGCTATTATAAAATATCCAGATATACATGCAAGATTCAAAAAAGGAAAGAAACGAGTCTTACGCAAATGTTATTTGCTTCCACTAAACCATAGCTTTCTTTCTGTTCATCAAAACCCATTGTTGTGGTGTCAAGAGGCAAGGGGCATAGACCGAGGAGTCAGATGGACTGTAGTTGAAGTAAATGTCCATTTACTAGTTCTGTGACCTTGGGCAAGTGAATCACTAAGACCGTAGGTGAAGATAATCATGCCTACCAGACAGGGTTGTCTTAGGGCATTATAAAGACTTTAAAATAGTGTCTCATGCATCTTGGTGTTCGGTAAATATTTGATTTTTTAATTATGTTTAAGGACTTAGGAACTGTCAGACAACCTGTGAGCAACTGAAAGGCAGTTGTTCTAGAATAAATGCTGGTATGTGTGCGTTATGTGACATCAGAGGGGCAGGATGTTGCTATTCTTGTGATTATTATCTAGATGGCAGGGTTATAATCAGTTTTATTTATTAGTGTTTTTCCATACTTTCCTTATTTTGAACAATGATCATGAATAATTTTGTAGTCCAAACACATAGTAAATGTTACAGAAACAAGAGCTGAGGGAAAAGTCCCTCACTCCCTATGATTTTAACTGCCAGGGAACATTTTGATATTATTACTCATTTCAATATATTTATTCTCCCCCTCTCGCCTTTGGGGATGTCAAAGGAAAACCAGAGCTTGACAGTAAAGTGGTAAAAACAGATTTTATTCCTCTATTTCAATAGAGGAAAGGAGACTTCAGTATAGAACTGGGCTCAGCTCTGGATACAGCCTGGGCAAGTGGGGATGTACCACCAAGGAGCAGGGTTGGAGGCAGTGGATGGAAAATCACTAAGAGGGAACATTTAGGATAAGGGAGTTCTGGGTAAACCAACCTAAAGAGATTGTTGCTGAAGACAGGCCAGGGTGATTAGATGTCAGCTAGGAGATGGTGGAGAATGAGAAACTGATCAGTTATCACGGATGATCAGGGGTTCTAATTAAACAGACTGAGCAGGGTTCATGCTAAAATTAGATTTTACAAGGAAGCGCACAGATGAAGTGCCTCTGAGAAGGTTCAGGAGCCAGACTAAAGAATCTTTGTCAGGGACAAATTCGTAAGAATTTTGCTGTTTCACCCAATGAAAAGCCTGAAGTTTAAACTGAAGGAAATGTTTAAAACACTTAATTCAGTGTAGTATTTTTTAATGAAGTGATAATGAGGAAGATAAATGTTTCTAAGATTGGAGTTCAGAAACTCACAAAAAGTCAATTAAGATAAAAATGTCCATGATTTGAAAACTGTCGCAACAAAGAAGGGGATTATTCTGATCTTCATGACCTGAATAGGCACATATAAATTATTTTAAGAAGTTAGTTATTCTGTGCTGCAAGTTTTCTAACAGTTTTCTTTTCAACAGATACATGGTACGTGATCGTCTCAAAAAAATAGTAACTTTAGACCAGGAGAGCTGAAAATAGAGCTCATGTACACTTAATTCACTTTGGAACACTTTATATTACAAAATTTCATTAAGATATCTTAAAATTAAGATATTGAATTGAAGTCAATCAGAGAAAGACATGTATCATATGACCCCACTGATATGAGGAATTCTTAATCTCAGGAAACAAACTGAGGGTTGCTGGAGTGGTGGGGGGTGGGAGGGATGGGGTGGCTGGGTGATAGACATGGGGGAGGGTATGTGCTACGGTGAGCGCTGAGAATTGTACAAGACTGTTGAATCACAGATCTGTACTTCTGAAACAAATAATGCAACATATGTTAGAAAAAGAAGAAGATAGCAGGAGGGGAAGAATGAAGGGGAGTAAGTTGGAGGGGGAGACGAACCATGAGAGACGATGGACTCTGAAAAACAAACTGAGAGTTCTAGCGGGGAGGAGAGTGGGGGGATGGGTTAGCCTGGTGATGGGTATTAAAGAGGGCACGTTCTGCGTGGAGCACTGGGTGTTATGCACAAACAGTGAATCATGGAACACTACATCACAAACTAATGATGTAATGTATGGTGATTCACATAACAATAAAAATTAAAAAAAACAACACATCTAAATTAAAACAGTAAAAAAAAAGATTGAATTGAAACTTCTTACATGTGGTGGCTGGTGATTTACATAAAACTACTTGTCACTCTCGTTTTTTAGCATGTGTTTATTGCTTCATGTAACAATTTGACTAACTCAATCAAAAATACATTCTTTTTATCTTGTTTTTATCTATCACTTAGTCACAGTTTATGAATCTGTTCATATGTAGACTTGTTTCTTTAATATCTGTCTTCACCACTAAACTGAAAGTTCACTGAGGGCAGGGCCTGTGTCTGTCAGTTACTTTCAGGCCCCAGCTTGCTGAGCGTGTGACACATGGTGAGTTTTCAAGAATTTGATGAATATATGCACAGTATCCACTTTGATAATGAATAACTTTCTCAACTGCTTTTAGAAATCACTGGATTGCTTCTAGAAGAGTAGCAAGAGAGGGAAGAATGGGTAGCAGGAAACTTCAGAATTAGTGAAGTACACTATAAAAGCCATATTTTTCATAATAAGTAGTGCTTGACCTGGAATTAAATATATTGTTTGTTTGTTTGCTTCTGACAGGATTATAGTGAACATCATTCACAGCACTTCTGACTACCTTCCCAAAGTCTTGCGATTTTTGAATGTGGCTTTTGATAGCTCAGGTGATTGCTTAATTGCTGGGGACCATCAAGGAAATATCTATGTTTTTGACTTGTACGGAAACAGGTGAGCAGATACCTTTGATATATATATCGTATTTAACAAGTCATTTACTGCCACTTTTAGTACCTCCTATTAATTATTCATTCAGCAAGATTCATCAAGTTCTTACTATATTTCAGGTACCTTGTGAAACACTCATAAATGCTGACGGAAGAAAATGGGAAAGCATAGAAAATATGGTTAGATTTTTTTAGAGAATTCAAGTTCCAGTTTGCACAGTATCTCTAGTAGCTTGTTTTACCTTAGATTTAAAAATTTACTCTTGCTCACTTATCAGTGTCTGGTACTTTATCGGGCAATTTAGAAAGAGCATAATTTCCTTTGTATATTATTGTTTCAGTTTACACATCTAGCAGTTTTAAAGAATTGATCCTCACTTGTCTGCTTCCTCTTCCTTTGCTGAACAGTTTCATTCGGGGGCAGTTAGGTGGGATTGACGGAGGGAGTCATCCCTGCAGTGGGGGTAGGTGGGAGGGAGAACCATGTTCGCCTGGCAGTCAGAAGGTGTCTGTGTGGGGGATGGGGCAGTCATGGGAAACACCGGAGGCTTTGATCAAGTGAGTAAATATGTTGAGGATAATGGGGGCCTGGTTTCTAACGATTGGAAAGGGGAGTTACAAACATGGAAAGGCAGAAAACGAGAACAAACCCTGGGGTACTGGATTGGAATTGGATATATCTGAGTGCACGGCCGGTTTTGAATATATAGACATAGAAATAAATAGAAGTATGTGAGTGAATGAATGCATTGTAGATACATATGTTTCCTAGTTTTGTCCACTTATAGGACCTGGGAGCAACAACACCCCAGTAGCAGTGAATACACCCAGTGCCCAGTTCTGTTCTAAATACCACGCTCTGCTAAAAGTAGTCAGGGATCCTTGCAGAAATGGCCAGTTTCAGGATGCAGGAAGAGAAAGTACAAGGTGAGCCTGGAACATTTTGTAGCCAGAAAGGAGGAATTATTTAAAGAAAGAGTGTCCAAAGGACATACATGTCAGCTTAAAAGAGCTCCTTCTTGCCATATTGGAGACACTTGGAGTATCAAAATAAATGATAGTAAGGGGTCGTAACCCATTGAGTAAAATAGAAATCTGTAACTTCATGCTGTAATCAAGAAACAATTTAATTAGAAAGGATACTTGCATAGTCACAAAGCAGCTCCCCATAAAATACTTATTAATTATAGAGGGGGATAGATTAGTTTTGCAGTGAAGAAGGCGAGCAGACACTTTACCTTATCAAATGATTACACGAGTAGTGGGACAAATCAGAAATTGTGTGCCACCTGATAGCGCAGTGGAAACAGGAGAATATCACTCTGTGGTGTTCCTACCAGGAACATGGCACCTGAATCCGATTGGTGGGATCATCAGACAGGCAAAGCTAAGTTAAGGGATTGTACAACCAGATGGCCCATAATCTTCCCGAGGGTCAAGGTCATGAACGTTGTAGAAAAACCAGAAGAATTATTCCAGTCTGAGGAAGACCAGAGCCATGACAAGTAAAGGCGTGAGTCTGGACTGATCCTTCTGCTGTCAAGGACATTCTTGGGGACAAGTGGCAAAACTGAATGGGGCCTGAGGGTTAGGCAGTGGTAACATATAAATGTAATTTTCTGATTTTGATAGTTGTATTGTGATCAGAGGGGAGAATTTTCTTGTTTGTAGGAATCATGATCTCGGTAACTTATTCTCATATAGTTCAGGAAAAGAAGAGGTCGTATATAATTAATTTCTCTGTGACCTATTCGATATCTGTTAGTCACGGTTTCTGCTCTGCCAAAAAAGTAGCGGTCACAGTTCTCCCACCCTTTTACACTTGCCTAACGCACCCTGCCAGTTCTCAATCTTAAATCCGTACAACTGTCTCATTTCTGTTCCCACTGCTAAAGAAAACAAAAATTGTTCTTGAGGGACTCCATTACCGAATAACGGACTTCAGCATTAATGATGCTTTCCCTTCATTTGCTCATCAACAGTTATTATTTTATCAATAGTTATTAATTCTCTCACTCTCCTCCAGCTTCCATGTCTTTACCCGCTTCTTCATCTCCTTGGGTACAACCCTACTCTTGCTCGGCTCCCTGGCCTCCTAAACTCATGAGCAAATAGACACTTTCAAGCTTCCCTTCCTCTTCCCCAGCGTAGCCTTAGATACCTGGCCGTCCCTGTGGTTGGCTTATTCATGAAAGAAGTGATCCTGCTTCCTTCCAATGCTCATCTCGATCGTTTGTAGCCACCCCTGGGACTTGGCACCATGAGTGTTCCTCTCTTTTATTTTGTCCACTGTCCCTTTCTCTCTATAAATATTCACAGCCGAGCGGAGGAGTAGGTAGCAGAGCTGAGACTTGCAATCAGGCCTGTCGGATTCTAATGCCCTCCATGCCGGGGCCCCTTGGAAATTTTACTTGCCTAATCCAGTCGTCTCTTTTCCTTTCTCATCTTACTAAGTACCCGTCTTCACCTCCTCCCTGGAATTTTTTTTCTTTTGCTTCAAGGTACAGCTCTTAACTGACTTTTCTACTTCGCTGATCATTTTCCCCTGCTTGTTTTGCTGACTCTTCTGCCAATGCCTACCTATTGTGCTGCTTGGGCATCTTTGTTGGCCTGCTCCCTTCCATGTTCTCATTCATAATCTCATCAGCACCAAGCCTAAGGCTTCAGCTGCCATGCAAATACTGTTAACCCAGATCTGTTTCTACTCCCTTCTGGATTTAGGCTGTCCAGTGCCATAGCCACTAGCTGCATCGAGCTCTGGAGCCCGTGAAAGCGGGCTAGTCTGAATTGAGATGGGTTGTTAGTGTAAAATACACACTGGGTTTGGAAGACTCAGTATGAAAAAAAATAATATAAAATACCTCATTAATTTTTTATTGATTAAATGTTGAAATGATAAGTATGTGTTAAATAAAATGTTATTAAGATTAATTTTACCTTTTTCTTTTTACTTTTGCGACGTGGCTCCTAGAAAGTTTTAAATTACACCTGTGGCCTGCCCTATATTTCTTGGACAGCACAGCTCTAAATGTTTTGCAAAGGCCTTGAACGCAACATATTTAAAGCCAGACTTATTTCCTACCCCCAAACTTGTCCCTCTTTTGCTCAATCTTGAAAACTTGATTTTTTAGTAAATTAAGACTCTGTGTGCCAAGTACTCTGCTGAGCACTTAGCATATGTTATTTCACTCAGTCAGCGTATTAGTTCACTTACGTACTTAATCATCTCTTGTCTTACCTTCATTTTACGCGTGAGGAATTCCTGATTCCTCCCTCTTCACTTCGTTTTTGATGCATCACCAGCCCTTCCCCCACTTGACTCCTGACTTGTCCTGTTCTTTCTGTTGTAGACCCATAGCTCTGGTTGAGATGCGCTGTAGGAGCTTGCTTCACGATCTCTTCCTTGTGCATTTGCCATTGCTGCCAGAATCCTCTTCCTGAAAGACATGGCGGGTCGTAACTCTGTAATTCCGCTAAGCTTAAGACCTGTTAAGTAAATTCCAAATTCCTGTATGTGGCAGATAGCACTCTTCATAATCTGTTTTTGGTCTACCAAAATGAGGGTTCATTTTTCTGGGTTTCATTTTCTTCATATCTGAGGACTTCTCCATGTAAGATTTATGATTATGGGAAGATTTTCTGATACTAATGCGGTAATCTCTTAATAGGTTTAATCTTGTTCAGCGAACAGCACAAGCTTGCACGGCTCTGGCCTTTAATCTCCGTAGGAAGTCTGAATTCCTTGTGGCATTAGCTGATTATTCTATTAAATGTTTCGATAGAGGTAAGAAGTCCTCCTATTTATCTTTTGAATAAGAGTCAAATTTAGACTAAGGTACTGCAAGGAGTTTGCCAGTCTGTCTCACTGCAGACATCACCTGCAAGTTTAGGGGTCCCGGGACCTTCCTCACATCAGCTCAGCTGTTTACAAACTCAGGGTTCCCCACAACTACCCTCAGGTTTCATAATTCACTACAAGGACTCCCAGAACTAAGGAAATTGGGTAGGATAGAAGGATACAAATTCACACCAGCCAAAAGGAAGGACGAATAGGGTAGAATGTGGGAGGCTCCCAGAAGAGAAGCTGCCATTATCCTTAGGGACACATTACTCTCCCAGCATCAGTAAGTGGCTGTCCACGCTGAGTATTGCCAAACCAAAAATTCACCTAAGCTTTGAGGTCCAGGACTTTTTATGGAGGCTCCATGACATAGATATGACTGGTTGGATTATTGCCCCCTGGTTTGAACTCAAATTTCCAGCCCCTCCTCTCTCTGGAGGTTGGGCGAATATCATGTGACCCAAAGCCCCAGCCTTCCAGTCACTCCCCTGGTTGCTCTTTCCCATGTGGCCAGCCCCACTCTGAGGTTCTCTCTTTAGGTAAGCCAGCTGCTATTGCCTGAGGGGCCTGCCATGAATAACAGAGACACTGTGTCACTGGGGAGGCTAGGGGTTTAGAGATTGCCTCCCAGGAACCTGGACAAAGCCCCAGTTCCTTAGTACTTAGGTACAAGAATAATAACCTTAATACATCTTATGTATTGTATACCACATTGTATATTTTTAGAGAATTTAGAGTTCGGTAAACTGAAGCTCTTAAGAAAAAAGATAACTGTATTGTTTTTTCTTATTATTATAGTAATTGATAGAATATATAGAAAGATAATAATAACCAGGGCTCCTGGGTGGCACAGTTGGTTAAGCGTCCGACTCGGTTTCAGCTCAGGTCATGATCTCAGGATGCTCTCGCTCTCTAATAAATAAATAAAATTTTTTAAAAAAAAGATAATAATAACCATAATAATATTTGTGATAGCTAACACTTACATAGTGTTTACTCTTTGCCAGGTACTGTTCTGTGACTTTATACATATTAATTTTAATTGTCATAAAAGCCACAGATGTGGATAGTATTATTTCCATTTTGCAGATGAGGAGACTGAGGCACAGAAGTAACTTGACCAAGGTCTCATGGCTTATAAGCAGTGGAGCCAGGATTCCTAACCTGGAAACCTCGCTCCAGGGCCCCTGCTCTTAATCACTATGATGCTCTTACTGCTTGTAAGAAGACAAACTAGTCATCCTTCAGTAATGCCCAGACGCAGTCCGTGTTTTTATAGTAGGGACCTATCTTTCCAGTCTGTTTTTTCTGCATATACCTCTTTTACGGTCTTTTTTTTTTTTTTAAGATTTTATTTATTTGTTTGAGAGAGAAAATGCACGCACACAAACGGGGAGGGGGGGCAGAAGGACAGAGAGAGGATCTCAAGCAGACTCCCTGCTGAGCTGGGAGCCTGATGCGGGGCTCTGTCTCACGAGATGCTGAGATCATGACCTGAGCCCAAACAAAGAGTTGGAGGCGTAACCAGCTGAGCCACCCAGGCACCCCACCTCTTGTACATTCTAACAAACATATGGTCATCCTATCTAGATTGTTTTGTAGAATCATTTTCTTACCTCATTAAAAATGCATGCAGTATTTTAAAATCAGCACGTAATACTCCACTCTGTAGGTGTTGGCAGTACCATAATTATTAAACCTGTTACCTATCAGTGGACTTTAAACTCTCCAGTTTTTGGTTACAGACCCTGCTGTCACAGAAATTCTGAAAAACTAAATGTTTGTACTCATCTGTGATTGCTTCCCTTGGACTCCATCCATTCTCCTCTCCTCTCTTCCCAGGTCCATCTTCTTAAAGTCTCTTCTGTCTGTTGAACCCCTTCCCCCGCCAATGAAGCCCCTCCCTTACAATGTTGTTGCTACTTCCCCGACCACCTCCCTCTTCACTGCTAAATGCTGCTGCTTCACAGCTTCCAACAGCAGATTCTGATTCTCGCTCCCCCCAACTCCTACTCCTCTAAGGTCCTTAGTAACCTCTGATTGTTGAAACCCTCTTTGTACTTTTCATTCTACCTCTCAGTAGCATTTAGCACTTTGCATTAGGGCAGGACCTTAGTTTTCATACTCTTCTCTCTCCTGGGTCTCCTCCTCCCTCTCTGACTGCTTCTTACTAGGCTCTCTCCTGGGTTATTTGAGTGGTCCCTAGACTTTTGGATTTTTCACTCAGTTAAAAAGAAAAAGTAGAGAACAACCCATATGGGTTGTCAGCTTTTAATTTTGCTAAATGACATTGGAAAAAACAGTAGAATTTCATTTCATGAGGTGAGATTTTTTTTAACATAAAGGAACTTAGAAGGATATAATACTCAATTAAAAGGTAGTACTTTAAATTTAGCTTTATGAAAACCTCATTTCATTATCCGTATTTTTCTCATTTCACTGAAGACCAGTGAAAAGTTGACCATTAACTAATGCCAGACTTTAGACTGGTGTTTGGAAACTACTGCTCTCTCCCCAGGGGTTTCTCTCTGTTCCCTCTGTTTTCAGTTTTGACCTACTTTGTGTCTTAATGCTTCCCAGATTTACATCTTGCTTTCGGACTATTCTCCTCAGTTTCATCTTTCTAGAGGAAAAAATTCTGGTCATGAAAGTAAAACTTGCCTACCATAGCAAATTTGGAAACACAGGAAAATGTAAAGAGAACATAAAAATCACTAATAATTCTATGACCCAGTGATAATTGTTGTTTCGTTTTTGGTATTTCCTCTGCCAGCTGTTTTTCTGTGTTTCTCTCTCCCACATGCATGCACACACCTCAGGATCAGTTTTAAAAATCGAATTCATGATCACTTCTTCCCACATTGCTGGATCTGTTTCTCCTCATGTACTGCTTAAATCAGTTACTGGTATCGCCATCTAGTTAGATAACTAAGCTAGAACCACTGAAGACTTACCTCATCCTTTATTTCAACACATCTATTTGATCACAAAGTCCTTTGAATTTCTCCCTCATAGCTCTTGAATTTGTTCCTTTCTCCATTGTCACATTTTTTGTTTAGACCTTCCTTATCTCCTCCCTGGATTATCACAGCAACAAATAAATCAGTTGTCTAATCTCTTCCTTCTTTCCAATGTATCCACCATGTACCTTCAAAGTGCTCGCTCTAAAATACACACCAGGTAAGATACTCTTCTACACAAAACTATGCCTCCCAGGAGAAAGCCCAAACTCTCTATTGTCACATTGAAAGCTGTTCTTAAGCCCTTTTTCATTTGGCCTCATCTCCTCATGTGTCGATGATATTCGTGTTATTAACGAGTTCCATTGTGTGTTTTATCACTGGCCAACTAAGCTTTTACTTTTGTAGCCTAGTGTAATGAATAGTGTAATAAATACCTAGCCATTGATCGAATCCATTCTTGGATGACATATAGTGTTTTACCTGTGTAACTTCTACTCTTTACCACAGTTACCAAGGAGCTCGTTAGCTGGATGAGAGGCCATGAGTCATCAGTGTTTTCGATCTCTGTGCATGCCTCAGGGAGATACGCCATCACTACTTCTTCTGACACGGCCCAGCTATGGGACTTGGATACCTTTCAGAGGAAAAGAAAGCTGAATATTCTACAGTCTGTGGGTATCCAGAAGGTCAGTGGAGGTGGGGCGCATCTTGGTCTGTTTTGCTTCTCAGACCAGTTTCTTGGTCAGCAGGATTTACAGATGATAGAAGAGTAGTGAATGATTCACTTTGTCCCGCATAGCTGTGTTAGCCTAGTGCAGCCACACGCAAAGCCGAGTGGCCCACGGGATTGAAGATGTTGCCTGTGGCTACAGTTTATAACTTACTGAGTTTTTGTCTTAAGAAATTTCAAACACAGATTCGTAAGAATTTCACAGTGAACCCATGTACGCCATTAGATTCTACCATTAACATGTTCCTGTATTATCCTTTACTGTACGTATGTCCCTGTACTGTATTATGGATCTGTCCATTTTCTGTGCATTTATTCTTTTTTTTCTTTTTCATTTTAAGTGAATTGTGACGTCAGTATACTTGCCCATAAATACTTAAGCCTGAATTTAATCAACTAAGGCTCAGTATTTGTTGATGTGAAATTTATATATGATGAAATGCACAAATCTTAAGTATTCATTTGTTAAGTTTTGTCAAATACATACACTTTTGTAACCTGTGCGGACCTATTACTACCATCATCGCAGAAAGTTCTCTTCTATCCCTTCCCAGGGAAGCACTGTCCTGATGTTTTTCTACCGTAGATTAGTTTTGTCCTAAAATTTCAAATAAGCAGAGCTAGTCGGTAATGGTATGTGTAAAGCTTTTCTCCTTCCACGTGATGGTTTTGAGATTCATCCATGTTGTTGGACATAGCACTAGTTCATTCCTTTTTATTGTTGATCAGTATTCCGTTGTATACATATATCACTTTTTAAAAAATATACACTTCTATTGCTTTTAAGGCTTAATTTTTTTTTTCCGTTTGATTAGCCTAATACTATTTTTGGGATTGTCTGAGTCTCCCGTGTGATTCATTCTATTGCTTCAGGTTATATTATACACACAGTATTGCTTTTAGTATCTTGGTCATTAACGTGAACAGCTAGCAGTGCATGTCAACCAGAAATTTATTTTGTAGTCTCCATGGAAATCTCAGAGTTCTTTAGATTGCCTTTAATAATTTAAAAATAATAGAAGTTGTAGCCAGCTTATTCTTCAGGGGGTTAGGCCAAATATCTTAGTAGGTCTTTTCTTCTTTAATTGCTTCAGCACTAAATTGAATTCTAAATTCCAAAGAAGAGCACATTGGGAATTGAACCCACAATGGAAACAGAGTTATGAAACAGTGACACAAAAACCATCTGTTCTTTTTACCATGAAATTAAAATTACTAGATGCTGGATAGTTGCCAATTCTAACCTTGCTTGGTCATTTAGACGTTTTAGTTTAAAAGATAGGCCTCCAAATGTTAGCAATATGAGAGTAAAAGTTAGAAAATGTATGTATAGTATGCAGTATGCATATAGGTATATCGTTCTAAAATAATAGAACATCATAGTCTGTACATTACCTGCAAACTTTTTCTCAAAGGACCAGATAGTAAATATTCTTGGTTTTGCAGACTAAGAGCAAAATTGAGGATATTATGTATATACTTATTTAACCATCTACAATGAAATAATTTTAAAGTGTAAAAACCATTCTTCGCTCCTGGGCTATACAAGGACTGAAGGGGCCAGATTGTTGCCATTCCTAGCTTACTCTATTGAAAATAGGAAGTAATTGTAAACTAATCTTATTCTTATCAAGTTTTTGCTAAATCTATGTTTTTATTCCAGTTTCTGATTCTATATTTTAAAGAGAACTTTTGTGACTGTGTGTGTGTGTGTGTGTGTGTGTGTGTGTGTGTGTGTGTGTGTGAGATACATGGTGACAAATGATGCTGTGAGTCTCATTTTATGATGGCTCTTTTTAATCTAAAATAGTCTTCCGCTGGGGCACTGGGGTGGCTCAGTCGTTTAAGCATCCGACTCTTGATTTTGGCTCAGGTCATGATCTCAGGGTGGTGAGATCAAGCCCTGCGTTGGGCTCTACCCTCATCGGTGAGTCTGCCTAAGATTCTCTGTCTCCCTGTCCCTCTGCCTCCCCGCCTCACCTCCAAACATGTGCTCGCTCGCTCTCTCTCTCTCTCTCTCAAATAAATCTTTAAAAATAAAGTAGCCTTCTACCATTTTTCCCATGACATTATTATTTATTCATTTATTTACCTTGAAAGCAATCAGGCCACTTGTCCTGGAAAATGCCCCAAATTCTGAATTTGTCTTACTGATCATCATTATGTCATTTAACTTATTCTTTCATTTGTATTTCTAGTAAAGCCAAAAGTTAAGTCTAAAGTTTCAAGTAGATTCCTGTTCAACATTTTCAACGAGCTATTTGCCTGATGTGTAGGATGCAGATAGTAGCAGCACGTGTCTTAGGGTTGGCTTCAGGATGGAATGTGATAGCTTATACATAGCACCTGGCACCTAGCACCTGCTGTGGTGTAGCAGGTGCTTATAACCAGGTCAGCTGCAGCCGCTGCTACTTCTGCTGTTGTCTGTTGTTCTCATCTGTTATCTGGTTCTACTGTGGGATTATCTCAGTTCAGTTAGTTATCTTTTTAAAAAGCTGTAAGGTAGGACGCCTGGGTGGCTCAGATGGTTGAGCGTCTGCCTTTGGCTCAGGTCATGATCCCAGGGTCCTGGGATTGAGTCCCGCATCGGGCTCCCTGCTCCTTGGGAGCCTGCTTCTCCCTCTGCTTCTCTCTCTCTCTCTCTCTCTCCCCCCCCCTCCCTCTGCCTCTCATGAATAAATAAATAAAATCTTAAAAAAAAAAGATGGTAAATTAAAAAAAAAAGCTGTAAGGTAACTGTTCTGTCTCTTTTGAACTACATGAAATAGATGAATAATACCTCATTAGCAATTCAGAAACCCAAAAGTTTTCAAATAACTCACTTGGTGGCAAAATCTGATCTTGCCTGAACTCATTTGGCAGCAAAACCTGAACTGAACTGACAGGAGGCTGAAATGTTAATATGTTTGAGTCATAGAGTGTTGCTCCGGGTCACCCAGGGGTTCTACATACTGTTACAGAATATATATCATATTACCTTTCTCAGATCGGAAATAATTCTGAATTCTGGAACACATCTAACACCAAAGGTTTCAGAAAAATAACTATGGACCTTTGATGTCAAAAAAAATTTTTTTTTTAAGATTTTATTTATTTGGAGAGCGAGAGAGCACATGCATGAGCAGGGGGAGGGGCAGAGGGAGAGAGAATCTCAAGCAGACTCCCCACTGAGCATGGAGCCCAATGCAGGGCTCGATCTCACCACCCTGAGATCATGGCCTGAGCCAAAATCAAGAGTCAGGCGCTTAACCAACTGAACCACCCAAGCACCCCTGATTTCAAAAATGTTTTTAAAGAACCTATCATTCCAACATTTTTCCACTGGTTTTTGTACCTGGCAATAGGAATAATAAATACCAATAGCAATAGATACCGATTGTTGAATATTTACTATGTACCTAACACTTTGTTTAGTTATTTTTAAACTTAAATAATCCTAAAAGTAGATACTACTCTCATTTTACAAATGGGGAATCTGAAGTTCAGAAACATTAAGTAATGTGCCCAGTGTCATGTAGCTTTCCAAAGATTTGTGGTTTGAATCTAAGCCTGTCTTATTCCAGAGTTACTCCATTATACCATACTGCCTCTTGGGTAAGCCAATTACACCTCTTCATATTAGTAAATTTTGATTATTTTGTTGATGTTCGAGGTAGAATATTTATTTTTTTGTTGTTTTGTTTTCATATATTTTATTTATTTGAGAGAGAGAGAGAGAGAGAGAGAAACAGCATGAGAGGGGAGAGGGTCAGAGGGAGAAGCAGGCTCCCCGCTGAGCTGGGAGCCCGATGTGGGACTCGATCCCAGGACTCTGGGATCATGACCTGAGCCGAAGGCAGTCGCTTAACCAACTGAGCCACCCAGGTGCCCCCGAGGTAGAATATTTAAATTAAATATTTAGTTTGGGATTTTTGAATAAATCCTAGGGTATCTGATTACTATGGTTCAATATGTATTGGAAAAGGTTTAGGGATGGATATGAGATAACGTTTAACAAAGAATGTGTTACTAAACTTAATTTAGTCTCTGTATACAGTGGGTGCTCACTAAATCTCTGCTGAATTGTGCATTTGACTTAACTTGCTCTTTTTTACCATACCGAACTCTCAACTTGAAAAGGTATATTGTTCTAAAATAGTAGAACATCATAGTCTGTACATTACCTGCAAACTTTTTCTCAAAGGACCAGATAGTAGATATTCTTGGTTTTGCAGACTAAGAGCAAAATTGAGGATATCATGTATATACCTATTTAACCATCTACAATGAAATAATTTTAAAGTGTAAAAACCATTCTTCACTCCTAGGCTGTACAAGGACTCACATCCCTCTCAAAGTGAGTTGGAAAGCCTAGGATTTTCGTATTTTATGAGGAAAAACTGCAGCCCTACCCTTTTACCCAACCCTTCAAAAAGTATATTTTGTTAGTGCTTTTGAAATTTTTCTAAGCTTTTTATGATTGTCAAGAGATGACACTATCTAAATAATGACATGATTCATTAGGAACAATTTTATAATCATTAAAATCTGCAATTAAAATCACAAATCTAGTAATGAATAATCATGTAGGCAATAATCTATCACAGCTATTCCCCTAAAATAGCAGTTGGTGTTCATTAACTTTTAAGCTTTTGCTTCTCCCAGTAGGAATAAACTTTATTACTTTTCTAGAAATATATTGCTAATTATACTAAAAATCTTAAGTCACTTTTTTCAACATTGGCTTTCAAAGAGCGTTTCAGTGCATTGATTATAGATCACAATGTATTTATCGCATATTCTTTCAATAAGACCTTTCTATTATAAATCTTCCTGAATCTGTTGGCAAACAGTCTACCAGAGATTGTCTTTGACAAAGTGAGCCAAGGACAAAAGCGAGGGTTGAATCAGGCAAGGACAGCAGTCAAATTAGCATTTTTTATTGTGTCTTATTAGCATTAACACTGAGTAGATTGTTTTAATTAACCAGTAAGTCCCATCGTGCATTATGTATGTGTGTATGCATGGGTTTTTTAGCACTATTTATTATTTTAAAAGATACTATTATATGTATATGAGAAAAGTAGTTCGTGATAATAGCCTTCAACTATTATAAAAATTACAGGTTTCTTGGGGTGCCTGGGTGGCTCAGTCAGTTGAGCATCCAACTCTTGATTTCAGCTCAGGGCTGTGAGATGGAGCCCTGTGTCAGGCCCACGCTGGGTATGGAGCCTGATTAAGATTTTCTCTCCCTCTTCCCCTCCCTCCACCTCTAAGAAAAAAAAAAAAACTATTAAAAAAATTAGGGGTTTCAATCCTGTAAAATTTTTATACTAATATCATTATTAGAATCATTTCTTAACTGTATATATACATAGTAGGCTAAGTGACAACACAAATTAGATGCAAGTTTGCAGAAGTATTTCATTTAGGTGCCTTATTGATTCATTATGTTTGTAACGCTGGAGAAAGCCACAGTAGATTTGGTGTTGAGGCTGCTTTTCCCCTGGCCATTTTCGGTCTGCCCCCTCTCATTACTGTGCTGACAAGCCTCCAGATTGTAAATACTCCAGAGACACTCCAGTGTTCAAGACGTTGAACACTTCATCCCCAAAGAATGTAGCATTTCAGAGAAAACAGGCCTGCTTCTGACACTAGTAAATGGTGAAGGTGTGTGACCAATCGGGTCGGAATAAGAGGCTGCAGCTTGTTTAAGGTGTTCTGCCTCCTCAGTGAGTCCCTGTTCCTCTCCAACACAAGACCAAATCATATATTCTTAAAAAATAATAAAGCTTGTAAAGACAAACTGGCGGAAACAAGGACAAAATATGTTCAAATATAAAGTATTACAATAAACTGTTTTGCAGTTAAGAAGGCTATTCTCGATGGGAATCAAAGAATAAAGAGCTAGAGATGTAACTAAGGATTTAACCATGTGAAATGTCCCAGGCTATTTGGGGAGATTATTTTGAGAGGATGGGCAGGAATATGGTGTTCCTAGGGCATAGGTTTCTTCCATTTTCTTTCCGTCTTAATTTTTCCTTCCCTCCCTCCCTTTGTGTGCTTTACAGAAATGACACACAAAATCGTACTGGAGGCCATCGAAATTCTCACGAGAGAATGGTGAATTTTAACTAAAACTTTGTATTATCAAAAGTCAGCATTGCGTAGAGCTTATGTAGTAGAAAAATAGAATAAAGTGGTATTTCCAACTTTGATATCAAGTTCAGTCACAATTGTCCATTGCACAAAGCGAGTCACTAGTCAAACATCATAAGTAATGCTCAACAAACTTTTGTATACATTTATCTTAAAGCACTTTGCTCATTTTTTCTTCCGAAGGATTAGCTCTTAGAAGCAGATTGACTAGTTCAGAAGAGTTACCTATTTTCAAGGCTGTTGAGATACGTTGTATAGTATCTGTAACCAGTTTTTATTACCAGCATCCCAGTAGGACAATGCCCATGTCCTATACTCTCACCAACATTTGATATTTGTGATCTTTATGAGTAGTTAGTATTTCATGTCATGTTTATAGTAGTATGTAGTTTATAGTGTACATATGTTAGTGTATGTATAGCTTGTATATGTATTTATGTATGTTATTTTTAAAGTCAATTGATACACATAAAATGGTATCAATATTTTCACTTGAATTTTCTGTAAGGTTAGATGTTTTAAAATGGTTACTTTGTATTTTATGAATTGCCTAGTCATTTTAGTCCCCAATTTTTTTTTAAGATTTTTTATTTTATTTATTTGAGAGAGAGATAATGAGAGAGAAAAAGAGAGAGAGCATGAGAGAAGGGAAGGTCAGAGGGAGGAGCAAACTCCCCACCAAGCAGGGAGCCCGATATGGGACTCGATCCCGGGACTCCAGGATCATGACCTGAGCCGAAGGCAGTCACTTAAGTGACTGAGCCACCCAGGTGCCCCCCCAATTTTTTTATTTAAAGGGTTTTACCTTTTCCTTTCGGTTTTATAATAGTATATGAGATATCAGTATTATCCTGTCGTATGTCATAAATGTGTATTTTTTCCAGTTTAAGAAAAAGTAATTTTTTAAAACAAAAATTGACAATTTGTGGGGTGCCTGGGTGGCTTAGTCGTTAAGCGTCTGCCTTCGGCTCGGGTCAGGATCCCAGGGTCCTGGGATCGAGCCCCGCATCGGGCTCCCTGCTCAGCGGGAAGCCTGCTTCTCCTTCTCCCACTCCCCCTGCTTGTGTTCCCTCTCTCACTGTATCTCTCTCTGTCAAATAAATAAATAAAATCTTTTTAAAAAAATTTGACAACTTGTATAATTTTAAATATAAAGAGGGCTATGGGCTATATGAACAATAACTGTTTTTCTCTCTCTTTAGGTTTTCTTTTTACCATTAAGCAATACCATCCTCAGCTGTTTTAAAGATAATTCCATCTTCGCCTGGGAATGTGATACTCTTTCTTGCAGATATCAATTACCAGCTCCACCTGAAAGTTCTAGTATATTATACAAAGTATTTGCCGTGACCAGGTAATGTGCATTTCACTTTTTTTTAATTAATTAATTTATTTTTAAGTAATCCCTATACTCAGTGTGGGGCTCAAACTCATGACCCTCAGATCAAGAGTCATACACTCCTCCAACTGAGCCAGCCAGGCACCCCAAATGTACATTTAAAAAAATTTTTATTTTATTTAAATTCAGTTAACATGTAGCGTATTATTGGTTTCAGAGGTAGAGTTCATGATTCATCAGTTGCATATAACACCCAGTGCTCATCACATCACGTGCCCCCCTTAATACCCATCACCCAGTTACCCCACACCCCCACCCACCTCCCCTCCAGCAACCCTCACTTTGTTTCCTAGAGTTAAGAGTCTCTTATGGTTTGTCTCCCTCTCTGATCCAAATGTACATTTTTTTTAAGATTATTTTTTTTATTTATTTGAGAGAGAGAGAGAGAAACAGCATGAGAGGGGAGAAGGTCAGAGGGAGAAGCAGACTCCCTGCCGAGCAGGGAGCCCGATGCGGGACTGGATCCTGGGACTCCAGGATCATGACCTGAGCCGAAGGCAGTCGCTTAACCAACTGAGCCACCCAGGCGCCCCCAAATGTACATTTTTAAAATGCTGAGAATTTAAGAAATCTAGCTTCTAGGAAAATTTTACAAATTTTCATTATCTTACTGTCATATGAGAAATTTTTCCTTCAAACTTATATATGTTCTGTAGAACTTTTTAACTTATTTTGGCAAATTTCAAATGTACACAAAAATATAAAAATACAGGAAACCCTAATTATAGCGTTCTCATTAGCTGTGATAACTTATAGCCACTTTTATCTATAACTCAACCTATTACTACCTCCTACTACCTACTGCATTGCCTTAAAGCAAAGCCCAAGCAATATCATTTCATCCATAAATATTTCAGTGTGTATCTCTAAAGAAAAGGGTCCTTTTTGGAACATAACCATAGTACTATTGTCACTTTTTTTTCCAAGTTTTTATTTAAATTCCAGTTCATTAACCCTTTTATCACACTTTTTAAAAATGAATAATTTCTGGGGCGCCTGGGTGGTTCAGTCGGTTAAGCATCTGCCTTCGGCTCAGGTCATGATCCCAGAGTCGTGGAATCGAGCCCTGCGTCGGGCTCCCTGCTCTGCGGGAGAGTCTGTTTCTCTCCCTCCCTCTGCCCCTCCTTCCACTCATGCTCTCTCTCTCGTTCACTCTCTCTCAAATAAATAAATCTTTTAAAAAAAAATGAATAATTTCTTAATATTGTCAAATATCTAGTCTTTGTTCAAATCAGGAACCAAACAAGGTTCACAGTGTCTTGGATGATATATATCCCTTTTTTAATGTTTTCCTTGCAATTTATTTGTTAAGGAACTGGTCATTTGTCCTATAGCACTCTCTGTATTTCAGGTTTTGCTTTTTGCATCCCTGCGTTGGTGTTTAATATGATCCTCTTTTGTCTGTGTTTCTTGTATACTGGTCATACAGTAAATTGGAGGCTTGGTCTGATTCAGATTTGATTTGGGGTCAGGAAGACATGATAATGATAGGTGGTTTGTGTACTTTCATCAGACGAACACTTCTCTTGTGATATTAGTGGCCATCGATGATCATGACCTGGAACGAGTATTGCATTAGAGGTTAGCAAAATGGTGCTATGCTAATTCTGTCATTCCTTCTTCCCTTATTTACTAGAAACCTTCTATAAAAAGGAACTTGTTCTCATCAACTCTCTGGTTATTAGTTAGTTGCAAAGGAAAGGCAGGATAAATGCTCGATTTCCCTGTCTATAAAAAAAAAAAATTTTTTTTTTTTTTTAAGTAGGCTCCATGCCCAGCATGGAGCCCAATGTGGGGCTCAATCTCACAACCCTGAGATCAAGAGTCAGACTAAGTAGGGCGCCTGGGTGGCTCAGTTGGTTAAGCAACTGCCTTCGGCTCAGGTCATGATCCTGGAGTCCCGGGATCCAGTCCCACATCGGGCTCCCTGCTCGGCAGGGAGTCTGCTTCTCCCTCTGACCCTCTTCCCTCTCGTGCTCTCTATCTCTCATTTTCTCTCTCTCAAATAAATAAATAAAATCGTTAAAAAAAAAAAGTGTCAGACTAAGTTTAACCAACTGAGCCACCCAAATGCCCCTAAAAAATTTTTTATGAAAAATAATGGGTTGGTTTATTAGCATCTTTCAGAGGTGGCCAGTGAAGGCTTTGCCTTTAATCTTTGTGAATGAATGGATTTAAAAACAGTCGGCATGATTTAATCCATTGACATTATTCTTAGTGATGCTCCAGTTCTCTCATCTTTGACCACTGGGATCCTTTCAATTTGGCTCTGAGCCCCTTTGATAAAACTCCAGTTGTCTGTTTTGAGTGCTCTCATTCTTTCTCATCTGATGAGATGTTCCAGGCTTATCTTAAACATTTTCTGTCCCAAACCTGGAATCAGCCATTTTTCTAAAGCGCCTGGGTTCGTTTTAGTGGGTAATGATATTTCAGAACCTAACCTGGATGCTAGGGGTACTCCTTGTGACTGATTTGGTCATTGTCTCTAGGCCTTTTCAGTGAAAGAGCTAGAAAATATATGTTATTTCCTTATTTTCTCTCACCCTCTTCTAAGCCATGAATAAATCCCATCAACTGCACCAAATGATACCTTGAATTGGTCTGATCTTGTGCATTGTCACAGCTATTACCCTACTCCAACTACCCTGGTCTCTTTCAGACTCCTATAATAGTCTCCTTATTTGGTCTCCTTGTTTTCAATTTCATTTCATTTCCTTTTTTTTTTTTTTTAAGATTTTATTTATTTATTTAGAGAGAGAGAACATGAGCAGTGGGGAGAGGGAGAAGCAGGCTCCCCTTGAGTAGGGAGCCCGACGTGGGACTCAATCCCAGGACTCTGGGATCATGACCTGAGCCGAAGGCAGACGCTTAGCTGACTGAGCCATCCAGGTGCCCCTCAATTCCATTTCCTAAAGTTAGTCTCTACATAGCAGATAGAGGGGGGGGGGGGGGTTTTGTGTTTTTTGTTTTTTAATTTTTTTTTCCGTAGACTCCATGCCCAGTGTGGGGCCCAATGCGGGGCTTGCACTCAAGACCCTGAGGTCAAGACCTGAGTTGAGCTAAGAGTCAGATACTTAATTGACTCAGCCACCCAGGCACCCTGATAGAGTGGTCTTTTTAAGTCATAAGTCAAATCATGTCACTTCCTTATTGAACTCCCTTGAAAGGCTTTCCCTTGTATTTAGAATAAAACCCAAACTCCCCATAATATCCCTGAGGCCTCTGTCATCTGGCCTCAGGTTTCCTCTCTTTCCTCCTGTTTCCTTTTCCTTTAACACAATTCCAGCCACACTTGAGTGTGACTTCTCTCTCTTCATTAGGTGGCTAACCTTATTCCTTTCTGAACACTCACGTGTTGACCAGTCTGGAATACCAGCCAGCATGGAATTCTTCCTCCAAATCATCCCGTAACTGGCTCATTCACATTTTTTAGGGAGCAGACCTTCCTCCTTTCCCAACTCTATAACTCCCATCTCATTTTATAGTTCTTTATAGAACTGTCATCAGCTGAGATCAAGTTCATTTTTTTGCTTCCCTTCCTCTAGACTGAAAAATCCCACAAGAGCAGGGATCCTACCTGCCTTATTCACCATTTATGTCCCTGGTGCCTGAGATGATACCTGGCTTGTAGTAGACACTTTACAAGTCCTTGGTGAATGAATGAGCAACAGCATTGCAAGTTAATACAGCTTATTCTTTTCATACTGTATAAAAGTAGCTTGCTTTGAGCAGGAAAAAAAAGTTGGGGTTTTTGGGGTTTTCATGTATCGGTGCTGTACCAACTCAGTATAGTCCTGTGTGAAATATAGAAGTTGGATTGAGATTATGCTATAAAAGATAAATGTTACTCAGAAATCCTCAATCAAGTGATCAAACAAGTACTTGGTAAGCTGATGTCGTAGTAGAATAGGTAAAAAATATATATGCTGTGAACCTGAGCTTTCCTGTATGGTAGCCGCTGTATGGATGGGACTGTTTAGTAAAAATTAAATTATTTTATTTCCTCAGAAGCATTAGCCACATTTCAAGTTCTCAGTCACACGTGGCCAGTAGTGAGCATATCAGGCGGCACAGATCCTGTTGGATCATATTGGACAGTACTGCTGTAAACAGTCCACTTAGGCGTACTTTCTCACCTTTTGTTCTGCAGAGATGGTCGAATCCTGGCCGCTGGAGGGAAATCAAATCATCTTCACTTGTGGTGCTTGGAAGCTAAACAGCTCTTCAGAATTATTCAGATGCCTACTAAAGTTCGCGCCATCCGCCACCTAGAATTTCTCCCTGATAGTTTTGATGCTGGTTCCAATCAGGTTAGTAATATAAAGGTAGGACGTTATACAATTTCTGAACCATCTTTGCTCTTGTACCGTGATTATTACAAGGACTTGAAATTGCTAAGATTACGAAGAGTCTAAAATTGAAAAAAATTTACAATATTAGGTTCTGTATATTACTGACAACCCTTTTTCCAAAATCAATATACTTTAAATTTATGTCATGCTTTACGGTTTACATGCTTTAGCATGTTATTTTTTATTTGCGTATAGGGAAGGTATTCTCACCATTACATAGACTGACATTAAAGCTTAGAAGCATTAAGTGACTTGTACAACTTTCCTATTAATTGTAAGGTTTAAAGGGGGCAGTAGAATTAAAATTTTCTCTATGTTGTACAGTTTTATCTACCATAACTTGTTGCCTCAGTTTTATGAAGCATGTTTTCTTTGTATCTTGCCTTAGTTTACAAAGTATTCCCCCCTCTACATACTATTTTGTAAAAATTTTCTGTGCTCATGTATTTTATTCATTTTACTCTTTTTTTTAAAGTAGACTCCAAGCCCAGCATAGGGCTTGAACTCATGACCCTGAGATCAAGAGTCACATTCTCTACAGATTGAACCAGCCTCACACCATTTTTCTTTTTAATAGTTGAGTAGTCAGACCTTAACTTTCTTATTTTAAATTGACTGTTTTGAGTCTTGTACTTTAACAAGTTATATATAACTCATGACCCTGAGATTAAGAGTTGCATGCTCTGCCAGCTGAGCCAGCCAGATGCCCCAACTTAAGTTTTTTGAATAGATAATGCATTTACAAGGTTGAAAACATAAAAAATAAATAAATAAAAAGCCAATGAAGTTGAAATCTCTTATTCTTCTCTCCCATTTGCCCAGTTACTCACTCTCCATAACCACTGTTGTTCTAACACTCCTGTTTCTCCCACTTTCTTATGCAGCTTTGCACCTTGCTTTTCTTCACTTTTTTTTTTTTTTTTTGCTTTTCTTCACTTAATTGACCTTGAAGATGGTCAGTACAGAACTTCATTTTTTTTTTTTACAGCTGCATAGTATTTCATAGTTTTTTAACCAGTGCTTTGTTATTGGGCATTTAGCCTGGTTTTAGTCCTTCTTTATTACAAATAATGGTGCACTGAGGGATGCCTGGGTGGCTCAGTTGGTTAAGCGTCTGCCTTCAGCCCAGGTCCTGATCTCAGGGTCCTGGGATCGACCCCCACATTGAGCCCTCCGCACTCAGCAGGGAGTCTGTTTCTCTCTCTTCCTCTGCCCCTCCCCCTGCTCGTGTTCTCTCTCTCTCAAATAAATAAAATCTTAAAACAAACAAACAAATAATGGTGCACTGAATAACTTTTTGCACACACCATTTCATACATCCTCTCCATAGGATAAAATCCCAGAGTTGAAATAGTAGTATTAGGATTATGTGCATCTATAATTTTGAGGATCTTGCCAAATTGCCCTCTAGAAAAGTTGCATCAACTGTAGGTGAGGGGGTTTCCTACAGCCTGACTCAACAGAAGAGATTGCCACCTTCAGACTGTCTCCAGCCACTCCCAGGCTGTCGTCTTTCATGTAACAAGTGACATCAGCGTCTCATGTGGTCCGTGGCGGCACAGCTTGCCAGCTCCGGCATTGGGGAAAGAACCCGTGCATAGACAAGACAGTAAAGGGGTCTGTTGTGTATTGACTTACGCTTTTTTAGTACATGTTTTCAATTTTTCAAATTACATGAGTTAAAACTAAGTTTTTCCCCCTTTAAAAACTAGATTCCTTCTTACCCTTCCTTGCAGCCCACAGACTTTCTTTTCTCTATTCCCCAAATGTTACACCTGCCAGAGTCAGGTTTATGTGGGGGCAGCAGGACAAATGCTAGTTCTGATCAAGCTGTGGGGAGGGTAAAGGAAAACAAACCCTCCCCCGTCCTTGCATCTGACAGCTAGAGTGGAGGTCAAAGTTAAGGACTGTCTAATCATCTGTATTCCCTCCGAAGGGATTAGTACAGATGCTCCCTGCCATAGTCTCCCAGGATGGGCACCTTGCTGGTGCTGGTCAGAGTCAGGCTTATCTGGGCCTCAATAGGGCAAATCTACATTAGCCGTAATTAGAGGTTTTGAAATATATGATGGCTCTTTGCGAATATAATCTCTGACTATCTTCCCCTCAAACAAACAAACAAAACCCATATATAGCTACATACACATATGTACATGTAAATGTGTATAGTTTGATGTTTAGGGAGTTGACTTTTTTTTTTAAATGAAGGTATAATTGACATAAAACATTAGCTTCATAATGATTTGATATTTATATACATTGTGTAATGATCACTATAATAAGTCTAGTTAATGTCTGAGACATTGGACTTTTAAATGTGTTTTTGGAGCTCATATATTGTTTCTCTCTACTCTTAGGTTCTTGGAGTGCTAAGTCAAGATGGTGTAATGAGATTTGTTAATATACAGACTTGTAAACTTCTCTTTGAAATTGGGAGCCTTGATGAAGGAATTAGCTCATCAGTAATTAGCCCACATGGACGGTACATTGCATCTATTATGGAAAATGGAAGTCTGAACATATATTCAGTTCAAGCTCTAACACAAGAAATAAATAAGGTATGTTATCAAGTAAAGAATATCATGGGTTTTGTTTTGTTTTGTTTTAAGATTTTTTTATTTATTTACTTGACAGAGAGATAGAGAGCGCAAGCAGGCAGAGAGGCAGGCAGAGGGAGAAGCAGGCTCCCTGCTCAGCAGGGAGCCCAATGCAGGGCTCGATCCCAGGACCCCGGGATCATGACCTGAGCCGAAGGCAGACGCTTTAACAACTGAGCCACCCAGGCACCCCTATCATGGGTTTTTTTTAAGATTTAAATGTATCATCAAAAATAAAATCTTGGGGTGCCTGGGTGGCTCAGTCAGTTAAGCATCTGCCTTCAGTTCAGGTCATGATCCCAGGGTTCTGGGATCAAGCCCTGCATTGGGCTCCCTGCTCATCGAGGAGTCTGCTGCTGTGCTTTCCCTTCCTCTCTCTCTCTCAAATAAATAATTAAAATCTTAAAAACAAACAAAAAACAAAAAAATAAAATCTTTATGCTCTGATTTTCTAAATTCCTTGGACTTTATCCATACTTCTGGGCTTTGTTTTGTTTTGTTTTTCCTCTTCTCCCAAAGCCACATCTCTATGCTTTTTTTCTTTCCTCCATGATTTTGATCTTAAGTAATCTCCACCCCCAACGTGGGGCTCGAACTTACAACCCCAAGATTAAGATTCACGTGCTCTACCGACTGAGCCAGCCAGGCCCCTTCACACTTTTCACAGCTATGCTCCTTTCTTAAGTTGCTGCCTGCCTAACAGGCATCTGTGGGGTCCCTATCCCATTCAGCGTGCCTGTCATGATCTCCTTCCCAAAAGAGATCTTCAGTCTGTCTCTTCATTTCTGTCTCAGTCTTTCTTCCCATCTTACAGGTTAGAAATCTTGGAGCACTACGACTGTTCCTGTACATCTTTAGATCTAGTCAATATCAAGTCATGGTTCTTAAGTTTGAAATAATATCTGTATAAGTGCTGCCTGTTGTCCATCTCCACGTTAGCTGTCCCTGTATTTGTACTCAGTAACTACTCTTGAGTTCAGTTATTTAAGCCAATACACCAAAACTCAGAGGGGCGCCTGGGGGGCTCAGTCGTTAAGCGTCTGCCTTCGGCTCAGGTCATGGTCCCAGGGTCCTGGGATCGAGCCCCGCATCAGGCTCCCTGCTCAGCGGGAAGCCTGCTTCTCCCTCTCCCTCTCCCCCTGCTTGTGTTCCCTCTCTCACTGTGTCTCTCTCTGTCAGATAAACAAATAAAATCCTTAAAAAAAACTCGGAGCCCTCAGGGCCTACCTCTGCCCATCAGTCCATCCTTTATATAGCATGTTTCTAAAATAATACTGTCATCATCATTTCTAAAATAGTGCTACTTTGGTGGCTCCCTTCCTTCTGTCTGCCACTTTAAGTCCAGACTCTGTAATCTTGTCTGGTCTGCTTGTCTAACTTACTTCCCCAGACTTGTAACTTCCCTCACTGTCCCCCCCTAGACCCCATTCTCATTTCTACATCTGCTGCATTGTTCATTTCACCTAAAATATACTTCCCACTTCTCTTTTATGGTTATCTAGAATTTCCCTGGCTTGTTGCCGGGTCTCATTGTCTTTGTGCAGCCTTGTGAGGTCTGGGGCCGTGTCCTTGGCCCTGAGAGGGGCTTTGCTGATCACCTGGTCTAACGATTTCCTTTTATGGAGGAAGAAGCTCATGCCTCAGCCTCATCACACAGCTAGTCCTTAGCAGGGCCTGTGTTCTGTTCTTAAAATGATAGGCTTTTTGCTACGTGTCTGCTCCTTCTTGTCCTTTTTATCTTTTTTTTTTTTTTTTTTTTTTAGCTGGACAAGTAAGTGTCTTAACGCAGAAAAAAGAAAATCAAAAGATACGGATAAACAGACGAGACTCATGCAGTCTCTCCTTTCTTGGATGATTTTGAGGTGTATACTTCCCCAGGCTTTTTTTCCTATGTTTGTAAATGTAGAGGGTCCGTCCTCATTATTTATAGATTCTGTAATATATTAATTCACCTCCTGGTAAAAATACATTTGTGACCCAAGGCAGTAGTCAGCACACAGTGACAGGTGTTCACACGTGCGGGGCAGCGCAGAGCTGAGCTGCCGACCTGCCGGCCTCCTCCGAGCTCAAAGCCGCCAGCACTTGGCCTCCTTATTTCCGCTCCCATCCTGCAAACCAGTCCTTTCCCTGGTCTGTTTGTGGTCACATTTTTCACATGTCTGTCCTTTTTGTTGTTTTTGCTCTTTAAAATGCACCCCCCGACACACACAGTACTGCAGTGCTAAACACAAGAAGGTTGAGATGCATAAGCTTCGTTCAGGCACGTGTTATAGTGCTGTTGGCATGAGTTCAATGCTCATGAATCAACAATATATGTGAAATCAGTGTCTTTAAACACAAACATACACTAAACAAAGTTACGTCTTGATTGGCTGACAGAAATGCTGTGAGCACTGGCTCACAAGGACCTAACTGTATTTCTCCTAGGATTGGTGATTCAGTATTTCCCTAACTTGGTACTTGCAGCTTCTTTATAGAACAGAACTACTGTGAATAGTGAGAATCTACTCTGTGTGTGTGTGTGTGTGTGCTCACACGCACATGCGTACGTTTTCTTTAACCATATGGAATTAGAGTCTACTGTTCTCGTAAACTTTAAAAACTTTAATAACATTATTTGCTCTTAATTGGACTTTTCAGCTTAGCTGAATTTTGCAGGAGCTAGGTACATGTTATTAGTAGAAGCGGGGAGAGATCCGAGAAAAACCAAAGTAAGAGTAAGTCAGTGACTTCCTCTCTGCTGTTTGTTAAGCAAATTAACATCATATTGACTGGAAAAGCTGGAGTATAACAGGAGGAGGAGGATCTTTTTTTCTTTTTCTTTTGTACACATCACCAGTGTCTTCCTGGCTATTGAAGGCTTACACGAATGCTCAGGTCTGTAGTTCCTATAGAACTGACCCATGTTCCATTCCTTCAAGTCCTGTTTTTTGGCCATTGGAGAATTATTGGTGTTAATTGTGCTAATAAGTAAGCTAATTCCTACTTCTTTGTTGAAGTTTTAACACTACTAAGGTATTGGTTCTGCAGGTCATATCTCAGGCCCTAACTTTTGGGAGATTGTATTTCGTGGAAGCACATGAAGTTCAAGAGAAAAAACGTGGCACTAGAATAAAAATTTTAATAAAGATTGAGAAGAATGGATTGAGGTTAGAAAGATGGGCAATATTTAGAAGTCAGACCATTTCTAATTGCATTTCATAGATAAAGAATTGAAAAATTAAATCATAGAATAGGTGGCCATCATACTTTTTTTTTGGTCAGAGCTATTGTTATACTTTCCATTATCCTTGTGTTTTTTTCTAGATATGAATAAATGACCATGTATCCGAGAAAAACACTATTTAAAAAATCTTCTAGAAAGTTACAACTTTAAATGCTTTTTATAATAATTTTAAAACAAAAATTTAGTATCTATGCCATGTGTATTATCACATTACCTACTGTATACATTTTACAGTGTTATGTATTCATCGTACTGCAGTTGGCAATAGGGAAGACTTTTTTTAAAGATTCTATGTATTTGAGAGCACGAGACAGAGAGCATGAGCAGGGGGTTGCGGGGAGGGCAGATGGAGAAGGAGAAACAGACTCCCCGTCAAGCACGGACCAGACACAGGGCTCAATCACAGGACCCTGAGTTCATGACCTGAGCTGAAGTCAACCGTGTTACCCGAATGAGCCACCCAGGCGCCCCAGAGAAGACTTTTTTGGATTCAGACAGTAGGCTGCAAGTTTCAAAAGCAGAAGTCCTAAACCTCTGAAGATAACATGAGAAAAATCTTAGAAACCTCAAAGTAACTTTTTAGTAGTCTATGTTATGGAAAAGGGTCAAGATGTTTGCTTTGTTCTGCTTCTTTCTTTTGGGAGTGTGAGGGGAAGAGGTCAAAAAGTTTGGTGTCCTTTTCAGAGAGCTTTCCTGAGGAGTGGTGATTCATTTTCATTAGACATTATCTTGGAAGATCACTGTTCTGGCTTTCATGACAATGTGAATACGAGGTACTGTGTCTAACATGTGTTTTTCTGAAATCTGATGTGTTCATTTGGACATATGGGGTCTTCCCTGTGTTCTCTGTTTTCATATGAAAGCAATTGGCACTTTGGCTTTCAGAAAAATTTTTTAAAAATCACACATCCACCTAGTCTTTGATTTGGGTCTCGGCTAATTACTAAGGAAACTTTTAGCAATGAAGGCCTCAAACATTTAAATGGTCTGTGAAAGCCATTGTACTTTCATTAATATTTAGAACTCAGGAAGCCTGAGTTACCTTATCTGCTCATTTCCTTTGAACAAGGAAGATCTTTTGATTTTAAAGTGGTATTATTCATAGAGAAAATGTGTTAGTGAATCATTTTTCCTTAAGTAAATTGTTGGGGTTAATTTTCTTGTTATTTTCCCATAGAAATGAGGATTAAGACTCTAAGTGGTGCTGTCCAAATTGCTCGTTAAGCTGTTGATGCCATAGGGGACTAACAGCCTTCTCTGTGGAGCCAGGGACAGAGGCAGGCGTCCCATGCCTCTAGAGGAATGTCATTTGACCTCTCTCAGAAATTCACTTGAGCCCAAAGAATATTAGGGTGCTTCTCTCCCCATTCTAGGAGGGCCCCTCGTCCAACTGTGCCTTCTCTGCTGATTATCACCAAACTACTAACTTTATTGCGCAAGTATGTAGAAAAATGGATTGGGGCATCTGCCTTCGGCTCAGGTCATGATCCTGGGGTCCTGGGATTGAGCCCTGCATTGGGCTCCCTGCTCAGTGGGGAGTCTACTCCTCCCTCTGCCTCTGCCCCCCACCCCCCTCATGCTTGCTCGCTCTCTCTCATGCTGTCTCTCAAATAGATAAGTAAAATCTTTTAAAAAAAATGGATTGATATACTATGATTTAAGGCCAGCTTTCAAGGGATAATTAAATTCTCTGTTGTTAATCAGGTATCTTTATTGTTCTTCAAAGGAATTTGGCAGAAATTTGTTTTGATTTAATGACAAGGAAACATTCTTGGATATTTTATGTACACTTTTTGCTTGAAGAATAATGATGTATGTTAAGGCACATCATGAAATTGATCACAACAAATTTTGTAAGTCCTACGTGGACAGGTCTCTTTTCCAAGGATAACCACTAGATTTTATTTTTTCCCCCTTTTAGCCACCTCCTCCCTTAGTGAAAGTGATTGAAGATTTGCCCAAGAGTAAACTGAATTCTGGTGACCTTAAGATAAAAGTAACAACAGGAAGAGTACTGCGGCCAGCAAAATCAAGGGAAAACAAAATACAAACCAGAATACTAAAGCAAGACCTGGCTGGTAGTTTTGAAAATAAAGAGGTAAGAATATATTATAATTACATTTTTGTTTGTCATGACTGCTGTGGACAAGATTGATGATACCTTAGGCCATCATCACTCTTCTCTCTCTCAGAAGTTAAAGGAAAGAAAAGAGAAGAAAGGTGTAACTGAAGTTATAATGTGCCTTCTAAATTTTAAGTAGGTAATTAGTATATGTTTATGGTTTTTAAAGAAGTCAAACAGTATAGAATGGCACTGTCCAGTACGCTAGCCACTAGCCACACGTGGCTGCTGAGTACCTGAGATGTGCCTAGTCCGGACTGAGATGCGCTGTATACAGCAAATACTCATCCCATATTGAAAACTTCATGTAAGCAGAAGAAATAAAATATCTTGGAGTGCCTGGCTGGCTCAGTCAGAAAAGCATGTGACTCTTGATCTTGGGGTTGTGAGTTCAAGCCCCACGTTGGCTGTAGAGATTACTTAAATAAGTAAATACATTTTTTAAAAAGGAATATAAACAGGGTGCTGGGTGGCTCAGTCGTTAAGCGTCTGCCTTCGGCTCCGGTCATGATCCCGGGGTCCTGGGATCAAGCTCTGCGTCGGGCTCCCTGCTCGGCGGGAAGCCTGCTTCTCCCTCTCCCACTCCCCCTGCTTGTGTTCTCCTGCTCTTGCTGTGTCTCTCTGTCAAACAAATAAATGAAATCTTTTAAAAATAAATAAATAATTCCGTTAATATATAGTGTATATAGTGTATTATTAGTTTCAGGGGTAGAATTTAGTGATTCATCAGTTGCTCATTACATATAACACCCAGTGCTCATTACAACACATGCCCTCCTTAATGCCCATCACCCAATTATCCCATCTCCCCACCAAGCTCCCCTCCAAAAATATTGGTTAGTTTTAAAAAGCTAACCTAGCAGGCACAAGTCTAGCTGTTAAAGATTGGACAATATCGTTCCTGTTCGGGGATTGAGAAAATAGACTGAATGATAGCTCTGAGACATGGTCTGACCTCAGCTTTCCTGAGAATTTATAGGAGGCTTTTCTGAGAAAACTGAGGACATGATCACAGTTGACTTCTGGGAAATAAAAGAGGCACCACCATCATCAGGGCATTTGGCAGGGTTCTAGTGTGAGTCAAATTCGGAAATCCTACAGAAATGTGTCAGGGAGCGGGCTGCTTCTAAGCAATCCGTCAAGGAGTAGGAGTAGGTCAAAGTAGAACCCATGTTCGGGGTGAAATGCATCTCATCCACTAATTTTGGCGTCGGGATATGGACGGGGAAGCAGGAACTTCATCTGTGTGTGGTCAAGATAAGAACAGATAAAACTCAGGCCAAACTCACCTGGGCGTTTTATCTTTGTTTACAAAGAGGTTCCAGTGGCAGCAGGTGTCTTGCAGATGACGGGAATGAATGTGTCTCTTTCCTAGAGCCTATTGCCCCAGCCTTCAGTCTCTGGCGCATGGCTCTCAATGGGGGATCTTCATTCACCATCATCTTGGGTTTTCCCTTCACCCCCTCTTATGTTGGATTACCTGTTTTTTATGGTAAAATAAAAGGAGGGGCATTGAACTAAGTCAGAAAATCTGGCTTTGAGTCTTGAGCCAAGACTTATTGAGCAGGTTTGTGTCACTGAGCTCTGACCTACCTGTTTTCTCAAAGAAAATACAACATCCCATCTGTTTCGTTGAGTTGTTAGCATCAAATGAGGTCATCTCTGAAAATGGCTTTATCATCCCCAAATCTATAAAGTAATTTTCCATCAAGATAAAAATTGACTTAAAAGTAAGAAGGGGGAGGGGCACCTGTGGCTCAGTCGTTAAGCATCTGCCTTTGGCTCGGGTCATGGTCCCAGGGTCCTGGGATCGAGCCCCACATCGGGCTCCCTGCTCGGCGGGAAGCCTGCTGCTCCCTCTCCCTCTGCCCCTGCTTGTGTTCCTGCTCTCGCTGTGTCTCTTCTGTCAAATAAATAAAATCCTAAAAACAAAAAAAAAGTAAGAAGGGGGGATAAAAGTGAAAGGGTGGGGAGAGAAAGAAGGAAGAAAATACCAGGATGCGTTGCTCTTGCCGCTGGGATTAGCAGGTGACAGCCCACGGGCCACATCTGGCTCCTCCAGCTAAGAATAAGTTTCACATTTTTAAATGTTTACATTTTAAGTATCTTCATAATATCCTTGATTTTATCTCTTGACCCACAAAGCCTAAAACATTTACTCTCTGACCCTTTACAGAAAAAGTTTGCCAAACCCAGGTCTAGGGTGATATGTCATGAACCTTATCTACTGTGTACATGCGCACTGGAGAGAGAGAGAGAGAGAGAGAATGGAGAGTCCCATTTTGTAAACATATTTTTTTACTGCGTGTAGTGTTCTAAAATTGGAAAGCTACGGGGCACCTGGGTGGCTCAGTCAGTTGAGCGTCCAACTCTTGGTTTCAGCTCAGGTCATGATCTCAGGGTCGTGAGATCGAGCCCTGCATCAGAATCCATGCTCAGCGTGGTGTCTACTTGAGATTCTTTCCCCCTCTGTCTCTGCTCCTCCCCCTGCTCATTCCTCCCTCCTCTAAAATAAATAAGTAAATGAATAAAATCTTTAAATAAATAAGTAAGTAAAGCTGGAAAGCCACTGTGGGCTAGATTACCTTTTCAGTTTTGTGATTATGTCACTTACTGATATTATTTATTTTTTTTTTTTTTTTAAAGAATGAGTTGTCCGATGGCTTAAACAAAAAGCGTTTACAAGTCTTATTAAAAGGCTATGGTGAATATCCAATGAAATACAGGTAAAATTTACTTTCTTTCATGTTAAATCAATTAACCCCCCAAATTTTTCTTGGTTAAAATTACGTTTTTGTTCCAGAATGTTCATTTGGCGTTCTCTTCTACAACTGCCTGAAAACCATACGGCATTTAGCAGCCTGGAAGATAAGGGTGTTCATGTGGCATTTCTCAACCTTCAGAAGAAATACCCCATCAAAAGCAGGAAACTACTCAGAGTATTACAGAGGTATGTTCGGTATATCACAGCAATGTGTGTATCTTCCTAGAGATATTTATTAATTACAAATGGGAAGGTAGTAATTTTATAGTAGAGAAACTTGGCCGATACTACCTTAACCAAGTAGTCAGATTTAAAATCACCAGTAATAATACACATCAGTATGTTGTACATCACTTTCTTGGTATTCTTGCCAGAAATTTATAACCTCACTCTAAAATTGTGAGAAAACATTGAGGGACAATCTATAAAATAACTGTGTGGTATTCCTCAAAAATGTCAGTGTCCAAAAGATAAGAAACTGGGAGCTTCCACATTGGAAGAACCTATGGGGACTTAGCAAAGAAATACAGTGTTGCATCCTAGATTGGCAAAACGGAAAAATGACATAGCAAAATGGGAAAAATGATAAAATCTGAATGAAGTCTGATTTAGTTAATAGCACAGTACCAGTGTTAATTTCCTAGTGTTGATAATTGTACTATATTTATGCAAGATGTTAACAGAGTAATTTGAGTGAAAGGTATACAGGAACTCTCTACTGATTTTGCAACTTTTTGTAAACCTAAAACTATCTCAAAACAAAAGGTTTTTAAAAAAGGGAAACCTTAAAAGTATCAGAAGTAAAGGTGGGAGAATTATAGCCCTAGAGTAAGGCAAGCCTTTTTAAACCTGACATATCCAGAACAGATTGCTATGAACACGAATGTCTACATGTAAGAAAATTCCCCAGAGACATATGTAAAACTGAGAAAGTATATACAAAACATAGGACAAGTAAAAGACTGGTTTCTATATGAAGTATTCATTTAAATGAGCGTGGAAAGGACCAACGAATAAAAAATGGAAAAAGGATTGAATGTGTAGTTCATAGGTGGGGTTATGGTTCTTAGACATGAAAAGATGCTGTACCTCCCTTATAATAAATGCCAATTAAAATTACAATGAAAATATGTATACACGTATACATTTAAAACCACATTGAAATACCATTTCTCACCTAGACTAAAGGTTTAAAAAGAAGGTTGATAATAAAACACATTGGCCAGAGTGAGAAAATGGGCATCCCTTTACTCTGCTAATGAGAATGCGAATAGACACTATTTTTGCAAAGAATAATTTGGCACTGGCTATTGAAATTAATGCACATGTTTTTTGATTCAGCAATTCCACTTCTAGGAATTATCCAAATCTATATTCCTACATGAAGAATGATGTAAATAAAACATTAAGCATGGCATTATTTATAAAGGATTAGAAACAACTTAAATGCCCAGTAAGGCCAAGTTAAAGAAATTAGGTGTATCTATACAAAACTATCTTGTATCAAAGCTCCACATCTACTGATAATGAACTATTTCCAAGATACTATTAAGTAAAAAACACAAGGTGTAAAACAATGTTTATACCAATCTTTCTGATTTTTTAAAAAAGGATCTCTACTTCTAACAGTGGTTCTGGGGAAGTAAGCTAGATGATAAAGGTAGGAGGGAGAATTTTCATCAAATATACCTTCCGTAGCAAATTTTTTATCAGGTGAATATATTATTTAGTCAAATTTTAATAATAAACTGTTCTCTGGTCTTTATTTCCTTATCTCATTCACAGAACCCTATCTGCATTAGCTCACTGGTCTGCCATCTTTAGCGACACACCATATCTTCCGCTCTTGGCATTTCCATTTGTAAAATTATTCCAGAACAACCAACTCATTTGTTTTGAAGTTGTTGCTACTCTCATAAGTAAGTACATAAGTATTAAATAATGAAACCAAGAGTGGATTTCCTGTATATTTTTGTGATGTCTTTGCAGCTTTGTAACATTTAACAGTTCTGGTGTTGAACAATCAGATAGAGAGCACGGAATGGACAGTTCAGACATTTATACATAAACCTTTTTATTTACAAGAAAATTTGGATAGCTGCATTTTAGAAGATACTGTTACAGGTTAGATTTTGTTAGTAAGACAGAAGCAGGGGCGCCTGGGTGGTTCAGTCGGTTAAGGGTCTAGCTCAGGTCATGATCTCAGGGTCCTGGGATGGAGCCCTGCATCCAGCTCCCAGCTCAGCAGGGAGCCTGCTTCTCCCTCAGCCCCTCCCATCCCTGTTTGTGTGCAGACGCGTGTTCTTTCTCAAATACAATCTTTAAAAAAAAAAGTAAGAAGGAAGCAGATGCTTCACTTACTGAACATCAGTTATTATTCATAGGATTGTAGTAAGTATGTAAAGGATTTAGCACACAGTGCCTGTCGTGGAGGGTGCTGACTGCTGTCCTCATTCTCAGCATCCGGAGCGAACATTTCTTGAGAACTTCCTGTGTACCAGGTACCATTCTCTGTGTTTTGCCTTTATTAACTTATCTAAATCTTACGACAGTCCTATGAGGTAGGTGTTGTTAATTTCCTTTTTATAACTGAGGAAACTGAGGCACACAGAGCTTAAGTTCCCAAGGGTAGGTTGGTGGCAGAACGAGGATTTGAACCCAGGCAGACTCTAGCCTGTCCTGCGAACCATTCTGTTTACCCTTGCCATCAACAACATCTTCTCCGAAAAGTGAGTCCTTTTTTTCATATTAGTATAATTAGGCCAGTTAAACAGTCAATAAATTGAATCCAGTTATAGATTGGTTTAACAAAAATAACCAATTTTGTATGTATTTTAAATTGCTTTAAAAGGTTTTCTTGTACAGAGGAGATAAGCACTTAACTGTAATTACCGTAAAATTTTGAAAAATAGAAATAAAAAGATTCAAGCATACATATTGTGAATATTATAGTGTATTTCTCTTTTTTTTTGTTCATTTAATTGCATTATATTTGTTTTGATAAAATTTTACTGATTGGAGAAAATATAGGAAAACATACAAAAGAAAAGAAAATTCACCAGTGTTCCTCCTCCTCAATAATCTTTGATATAATATATTGATGAATTTCTTTTTTTTTTTTTAAAGATTTTATTTATTTATTTGACAGAGACACAGTGAGAGAGGGAACACAAGCAGGGGGAGCGGGAGAGGGAGAAGCAGGCTTCCCGCGGAGCAGGGAGCCCGATGCGGGGCTCGATCCCAGGACCCTGGGATCATGACCTGAGCCGAAGGCAGACGCTTAACGACTGAGCCACCCAGGCACCCTATATTGATGAATTTCTTATAAGAGCATTTTCCCCAAATCATTAAATATTCTTGAAAAACATAATTTGTTTAATATAATATATAATAACTGTGTAATATAATATTCCATCATATAGCTGTATCATAGTTTAGTCCCCCAATTGCTAGACCGTTAGTTTTCTTTAAGTAATTTTTCCATATTTTTTAAGCAGTTTTTTTTTTTTTAAGATTTATTTATTTATTTATTTTGAGAGAGTGAGAATGAGAGAGAGAGAGAGAGTACATGAGATGGGGGAGGGTTAGAGGGAGAAGCAGGCCCCTCGCTGAGCAGGGAACCCGATGCGGGACTCGATCCCGAGACTCCAGGATCATGACCTGAGCCGAAGGCAGTCGCTTAACCGACTGAGCCACCCAGGCGCCTAGGAATTTAAGCAGTTTTTTAAAATTTTTGTAATTACACTACTTTTTTCTTTTTTAAGATTTTTTATTTGTTTGAGAGAGAGCACACGAGCTAGAGGGAGGGGCAGAGGGAGAAGCCTTACTTCCTGCTGAGCAGGGAGCCTGACACGGGGCTCAATCCCAGGACCCTGGGATCATTACCTGAGCCAAAGGCAGACGCTTAACTGACTGAGCCACCCCAGCGCCCCTATACTACTTTTTATTTAATATGTTAAGTACATTTCTCTTTTTATATATTGACTAACACTCTTTTTTCCCCCCTTATGACTATAATATTCTATAATGTGAATGTACTAGTTTAATCTGTTGTTGGACATTTAGGTTATTTCTAACTTTTACCTAAAGAAACAATGTTACAACTATCTTCACATACAAATATGTATAATATTTTCTCTTAGTCAATTCCTAGAATTGGTATTATTAGGTCATAAAATATGAATATTCTGGGGCACCTGGGTGGCTCAGATGGTTAAGCGTCTGCCTTTGGCTCAGGTCATGATTCCAGGGTCCTGGGATCAAGTCCTGCATCGGGCTCCGAGGAGCCTGCTTCTCCCTCTGCCTCTGCCTCTCTCTCTCTCTCTCTCTCTCTCTCTCTCTCTCTCTGACTCTCATGAATAAAAAAATAAAACATTTAAAAAAGTAAATAAAATATGAATATTCTAATTGATTCCTTAAAAGGGTTATACTAGTTTACCCTGGCAATAACACTCGGAGTTTTAAAAGGAAAAGAAGCAACACAACAACAAAAAGACAAATAATCCAACTTTTATATGGGCAAAGGCCTTGATTAGACTTTTCTCCAAAGAAGATACACAAATGGCTAATGAGTACATGAAAAGATGCTCTGGATCATTAGTTATTAGGGAAATGCAAATCAAAACCACACTGAGATACCACTTTATACCTTCTAGGATGGCTACAATTTAAAAACAGGAAAAAAACAAGTGTTGGCAAGAATGTGGAAAAATTCTAGCCTTCATACATTGCTTGGAAATGTAAAATGGTGGTCACTGTGGAAAATTGGCAGTTCCTCAAAAAGTTAAACATAAAATTACCATATAATCCAGCAGTTGCACTCTTAGGGATATACCCAAAAGAATTGAAAACAGAGACTCAAACAGATACTTGTATGTGACTATCCATGGTAGCGTTTTTCCCAGTAGCCAAAAGGTGGAAACAGCCCAAGTATCGTCATCATCATTGTTAACAGATGAATGGATAAACTATGTATATAGTATATATAGTATATGATGGAATATGATTTAACCATATAAAGGAATAAACCCTGAAAGCTAGGCACAAAAGGACAAATTTATATGAAATATTTCAATTAGGAAATTTATGGACACACAAAGTAGATTAGAGGTTACCAGGAGTTGGAGGAGGTGGGAACGGGAGGTTAGTCCTGAATGGGTACAGAGTTTCTGTGTGGGAAAGGATTTTGCAAATAGTGATGGTTGCACAACATTGTGCATATAGTTAATGACACTGAATTGCATACTTAAAAATGGTTAAAATGGCAAATGATATTTTACCCTAAGAAGAGCTGTTTATATGTAAGTAAGCATGCAAAACTTTTTTATTTCCAGTAAAGTCTTGTTATATCGCTGGAGTATGATTATGTGCTGAGGAATTGATTTTCTCTTCTAAGCCTGAAATTTAAATCTAAAAGATCCATCATAGTCAGCATGAGTAGCTGTGAATTTTCACGAAGGGTCTCAAACTAGTTTTATTCAAGAAACATTTACTGAGCTCCAACTAAACATTAGCACTGCTTGCGATACACGTTGTTCTGGCTTTTTAGGTTCACAGTCTAGTTGGGACCTGGGAAAAAGGAATACAGTCACTTTGAAGTATAATTTGGGATATATTTATAAAAGTCATCTTTAAGCACTCTTTACAGTCTCTTTTATGACCAAGAGGGAGTTCTTCTGGTTTAGCCAAGGATCTCCACACAGTTACTTCTCTTTATTCTCTTCTCCGGTGAGTTCTGTCTCTGGGTCCTCTACCCATACTTCTGTTGTGGTGACACCATGCAGAATAGAAGAAGAGAAGGCAAACCCTGTTGAAGCAGCCTTTCCCTCATGCCTAATTGAGAACAGTGTTCTCTTGATGAAGATTAGTTATAAAAATCTGAGCTGTGTGTGTGTGTGTGGTGTTTTAAAATTCCTAGGACTAGGGGCGCCTGGGTGGCTCAGTCGGTTAAGCGGCTGCCTTCGGCTCAGGCCATGATCCCAGGTCCTGGGATCGAGCCCCGTGTCGGGCTCTCTGCTTAGCAGGGAGCCTGCTTCTCCCTCTCCCACTCCCCCTGCTTGTGCTCTCTCTCTCACTATCTCTCTCTCTGTGTCAAATAAATAAAAATAAAATCTTTAAAAATAAATAAATCAATTAATTAAAAAAATAAAATTCCTAGGACTAGCAGTGTCTGAGACATGATAGACACTTAGCATGTGTTGCTGAACTGGGTTTTTCTTTTAAAGTTAACTTAAGAGCAGCAGTTAAAGAAGCTGAAAGAATTTCTTTCAAAGCTTAGTTTTTGCAAGAGTTTATTTATGCCTTAATTATTAACTCACATTTACTTACTAATAAATAATTAACTTCTGAAATTAGTAGGCCCTTTATAACCAGATGTAATCCAAAATTCTGCCGATCTAAGCCTTCTTTTGCTAATATGAGAAAGGAGATCTTATTGCCAAAGGATGGAACCACAATTCAGTGTTTAAAATAAAAATCCGAATTTATTAAGGAGGGCTGTGGTGATTAGATGTAGTCCATTGAGTGAAACTAACTGATCCTACCAGCGTTTTTAGGAGAATGTTTTGGGGATTCTAGTGGTTACTCAGTGAGTTAACGTGAGCTTTAGAAGCATCTTGAGCAGAATAGATTCTGCTTTGCACTGGCTGACTTTCAGAGAATCCCTCAGTCACTGGCCGGTTTTCAAAGTCAGGTTTACTGAATAAGTTGTCGTCGATGGCTTAGATTTAAAACCAGTTCTGGTGGTTACTTGTTATCATGGCCGTAGAACAGTCACTCTTGTCCTAGTAACAGGGACGTGTTTATTCTGCTATTATAACATTTAATGGATAGGGGTATGATACATGCCCATTTGTTTTTATGTGTTGCTATTGATGTGTGAGAGTATAATCTTGGGGGCGCCTGGGTGGCTCAGTTGGTCAAGCGTCCAACTCTTGGTTTCGGCCCAGATCCTGGTCTCAGGGTCATGATGTTAGGCTACACCTTGGGCATGGAGTCTGCTTAAAATTCTCTCTCTCCCTCTGCCCCCCACCCCCCACCCCTGCTCACGCTTTCTCAAAAAAAATTAGTAATTTTGAACATTTCTTGTAAACTTTTCTAATTTTGATTAGATATGAATTTGAGTAGATTTTAGGAGATTGTCAAGACTTAAGAAGGAATCTTTTGTAGAAGGGTCATTTTGTTAACAAGGAGAAGCAGGAAGCAGAGCGCCCTATAGGAAGATCAGCATACTTTGGGAAGTTCTGTTTGTTTTAATGGACACTTCCTCATTGACTGCTCTCAGTTGGAAGAAATTGGCCAATTCTATAAACCTAAAATATGATGTTAACATGATGCAACTTTAAAATCGATGGTTCTAGAACTTAAAGAGTTGTCATGTTTTCTTTATTAATGGGCATATTGAGGACATAGAGTGGATTCATGTAAGAATTGCAGAATCCTTTGATAATATAGAATGCTAAAGATAGATTTTCAATTTTTTTTCTTCATAGTCAATTGGTGTCAACACTGGTTTGAATATTTCCCTAACCCTCCCATCAATATTCTCAGTATGATAGAAAATGTTTTGGCATTCCACGACAAAGACCTGCTGCAGCACTTCATAGATCATGACATAACTTCCCAGGTAAGAAGTATGAGGTTTTTAGGATAACATGACTAATCTTGGAAGCTAACATTGGTTCTGGTATAAGTAAGACAGACTTTTCTTGGAAGAGTATAGTAAAGAACATACTACTTTTTGTATTTTTAACAGTATTCCATTCTTTTTCTTCATTAAACTGCTTTCCCAAAAGTCTATAAAGAAAGGTCCATATTAAGGCAGTTCTTTTCAGAATTGTTTTGAATATAATTGTTTTAACAGCTACCTCAAATGTAAGAGAGTATTAGCAAGGACTTAATGACTTTTCCATAGAAAACTAATAAGTTTTTCCTTATTTATTTTAGCTGTATGCATGGCCTCTTCTTGAAACTGTTTTTTCAGAAGTACTAACAAGAGAGGAGTGGCTAAAATTGTTTGATAACGTCTTTTCCAACCACCCCTCGTTCCTCCTGATGACTGTGGTAGCCTACAACATACACTGTAGAGCTCCTTTGCTCAACTGCAGTCTTAAAGATGATTTTGAGGTAAATATCCTTGTTCTTAAGTAGCAGTTCTGGAGTTTCATTTATTTCTATTGAAGAATGGATACATTTATTGAGTACCTGTGGCATGTCGGGTACTGGTGCCAGGTGGGAGTAGTGGAGTGGAGAGCAAGGTATACACACCCTTACTCTGACATTGTTGGTCAATAATCCAACAGACGGTCACAGCACACTATTTGTCTTAAGTCGTAGCTTCAGAAAAGAAACACAGTAATACTGGAGCTTAGTGCTTGTTCCCTATGTAAAGGATGTTTACCAGTTGAGTCATTGCTAATTCCTTGGGTGGTTTTATCAGTGACCCATCCAGTTTCTGACAGTCTGGATGCTTATTACACATATGAAATGGTTACTCTGAGAATTTTGAGATATGGCAGGAAGGTTACTTGAAAGTGTTAGAGGAGGTTTTTAAAAGGAGAGGGGTCAGTTGGTTAAGTGTCTGACTGAATTGGTTAAGATCATGATCTCAAGGTCGTGGGATGGAACCCCAAGTCGGGCTTCGCACTCAGCGGGGAGTCTGCTTGTCACTCTCCCTCTGCCACTCGCCCCGCCTGTATGTGTTCTCTCTCTCTCTGTCTCTCAAATAAATAAATACAGTCTTAAAAAAAAATAAGTAAAAAATAAAAGGAGAGATTCTTTTGGTAAACAGGATGAATTGGGTTTGTTACTTATTTTGTGGTTCCTGTCAAACTTTATTTTTTTAAGGTTTTTAGTTTTTCTTTTTTTTAAACATTTATTTATTTGAGAGAGAAAGTGAGTGGGAAGGGGCAGAGGGAGATGGAGAAAAGGAATCTCAAGCAGACTCCCCACTGAGCACGGAGCCCAATGAGGGGCTCAATATCACGACCCCGAGATCATGACCTGAGCCGAAATCAGGAGTCGGGACATTTAACTGACTAAGCTACCCAGGCACCCCTGTCAAACTTTATTTTTACTTACTGTTCACAAGATACATACCTATATATATTTTAGAATTTGGACCTACCAGCAGAACAAGATAGTGTGGAAACGTTTCAGATTTTTTTAACGAATCAAGCTAATTTATTTTCAAATTTATTTATTTTGGCTTTTGCAAGGAAAAAAATCCAAGCAGGAGTTTGCTCCATTGTTGGTTGAAGTGTTCTTCTAATATAAAGGAGGCCTTCTGTTGGAGTTAAAATTTTAAAAGTATTATTTCAGAAGTTTGGTTTTGAAATCTTATTAGACTTTGAAAATATGAAATTGACTTTTCATTTTAAAACTTGAGTTAAGAAAAGTTTCAGTGAATTTGCCAAGGAAGAAAAGAGAGGGAGGGTGGGGGGAAGGAAGGAAGGAAGGAAAGAAGGGAGGGAGGGAGGGAGGGGAGGAAGGAAGGAAGGGAAGGAAGGAAGAAAAAAGGGAAGAAAAGATAAATTCACAATTTTTTAACTCTTATTTTTTCCCTCATAACTGCTTTATTAGTTGAATCACAATTTCAACACAAAGTTTTCTTACAGTATTTTTTTCATCATCGGAATAACCTGGATATAAGCGTTGTCATTAGAGAAGTCTATCATCTCATGGATACCACTCCTACTGATATTCATCCCAACAGCATGCTTCATGTCTTTGTGGCATTGACGAAAGGGCAATATCCAGTATTTAACCAATATCCAAAGTTTATTGTGGACTATCAGACACAGGAGCGAGAAAGAATAAGGATTGATGAATTGGACTACCTGAGAGAGAGGTAATCATGGAACAGTTGTTCTTTGTGTGATAGTAGCAAAATCTTTCATAAATACAGACAGAATTTTTTTTGAGAAACACATGTAAATTATTAAGTATTTGTGTAAAATCAGAGTTTGAAGGCTGGGAATATCTTTAAAGATATTTAATTCTTGCATATAGAAGTGAAACAATTACATATTAACCAGGTATACATCTTGTGTTTTGGTTGGACTTAAATTACTCAGTTTTCTTTGTTTGAATTTTTTTCTTTGTTTGCATTTCTTGGTGAGACTTACATAGGGCATCCTTTTCGGTGCTTTCTACCACCTGGATGAGATAAATATGAAAGTGAAAGGCAGTAGTTCAGGGTCTCAGAGGCAAATAGCAGTTTACCCTTGCATAATCACAAGTACGTACTGGGGGCTTGTCTGTGTCTGGATATAATAGTAAGTATTCCCTACTTAAGGCAGATGGTTGAAGATATGCAAGCTGAGGTAGACCAGCAGAGAGTTGAAGACGAAGCTTGGTACCAAAAACAAGAACTACTTCGTAAAGCCGAAGAAACGAGGAGAGAATTGCTCTTACAGGAGGAAGAAAAGATGATACAGCAAAGACAGAGGTATGTGTTACCACTTTGAGAAAATCTGGACTTGTGAGTTAGTTGAATAATTTTTATTTTCTTCTTTCTTTTCTATATACGTAACATTACCCAGCTGTGGCATTTCCATTAAGCAAAAATTTAAGCTAATAAAAAATCTGCATCTACCACATTTCAAAGAATTGGCGTATGGAATGGAATTCTGACTGCACACAAGTCTAATGTGCCTTGGAGGACATTATTAGAAGCATCATTGTATAGTAGGCAGAAATGCTTTGTAACACAGTGCTGGATAAATCACCTTCAGGTGATCAGGGGAGCAGAATTTTTAAAATTGTGTTTTAAACATATCTGTATGACTTGAAAATTGGAACATAAAATGATTATCTCATTATGCATCTCATACTTTGGAGGACAGGGGAAGAAGTATTAAATGCTTATTCAAAAGTATATTAATAAAGCAAAATGTTTAAATTAATTAAGATGATGGGATGAGCATTGAGACTAAGTCTAATTGTTGGGGAACCTCACTTCCATGTTTACTGAGTTTTACTCCTGGTTGGGATTTTACGAAACTGATTTCTAGTGTGGGTTAAACAGTTACTGAACTGAAGATTAACCTTGTACTAAAATTCTGGCAGAGAAAGCATACATAATCTTTGGTGACCCTGGAGCACTTCGTGGCATTCTTTCTTCAGATAAAGGATATTGATTGTACCGAGATGATCTGAGTAGACCTGTTAGGAACTTTTAAATACAAAAAGCATAGCCAGTTGCGTTTGGACACTTGTCCTTTCCACGAAGGCAGCCACGGGCACCATTCCTCCGTGTGCGTGATGCCACAGTAGCACCAGGGGATGGGGACAGATGTGCCGAAGTCGGTGGCGGGCCTTTCACTGTTGTGAAACATACGATTTTTCCACTTCAGTCTATGTCGGGAAGTGTGTCTATGTGTTCCTCTTGATGTATTTTGTATTTAAGACTAGCTTCTGTGAAAAGAGAGCTGAAAGTCAAGGAAATGCACTTACAAGATGCTACACGAAGGCGGTTTCTGAAGCTGCAGCAAGATCAGCGTGAAATGGAACTAAGAAGACTGGATGATGAAATCGAGAGAAAGGTTCATGATCCGTATCTTAGTGCTCACACAGGATCTCCGTTTGCTCCATTTATTCTCCTACCTTCAAGTTAAATGTCCTCGCTAGGATCCACAGGGAATACTAAATAGCCTCTTTACTTTCACTTTTCCCTCAGCTTTTCCTCTTCTCTTTCGAATTTCACTAATAGCAAAAAAAGTTTAGAAATGCCAAGAAAATTAGTCAATTTGACCAGTGTCCTTGGTGACTCTTTCTCTAAAAATAGAAATATCAATGAACCATTAACTGTGAAGTAGGGGAAATGCTCTTTTTAAATATAAAAATTTGCGCCTGGCCAGTATAAGAAAATTTCCATTATAAAATACAGGAAGTCAAAAATGGACCTTCCCTACTCTTCTCTCATTTTGTCCCCAAAATAAACTGAAAAAATGATAAGAGCTTTTCCCCTTTTTTATGGCTGCATAGTATTCCATTGTGTGATTATGTTATAGTTTATTTAATTAATCCTTTGCTGTTTGTTGGACATTGAGGTTGTTTGCAGTGCTTTGCTATACAAGATGGTGCTAGGTTATACATTCTCAGTACAAATCTTTGAGTACTTGCACACGTAGTTTTGTTGAGTAAATTCCAAGACCTACCAAATTATTCTCCAAAAGTGAACCTACCCAAGTTATTTTAAGTGTATATAGAAGAGTGCTTATACCCTAGTCAGTTTGGAGTACGTCAGTCTTAATATTTGCCAATCTCATAGGTGGAAATTGTATATTTTGTCTTTTTTTTCTTGCTAGTGAGGTTAAATATCTCTCCAGTTATCTTCCATTTGTAGAAGAACTATAAATTGTATACCCATATTTGTCCATTTTCTGTCAAGTTTTTTCTTTTCAGTTTACATGGGCTGTTTGTGCCATTTGGGGCAGCAGTATCCAGTAGAAATATGATGTGAGCCACATAGGCAATTTTGTTTTCTAGCAGCCACATGTAAAAAAAATAAGAAAAAAAAGTAAGAAACAGAGGAAATCATTTTAATAGCATTTTGTTTGACTCAATATATTTCCCAATTTTTTTAATATGTAATTAGTATAAAGACATTATGAGATGTTTTACTTTTTGCTTATAATAAATCTTGCAATCTAGCAGTCAGTTTATACTTACAGTACACCTAAATTTGGACTAATCACTTTTTTTTTTAAGGTTTATTTATTTTAGAGAGAGAGCAAGCGTGAGTGGGGGTAGGGGCAGAGGGAGAGACTCTCAAGCAGACTCCCCACTGAGCGTGGAGCCCCACACGGGGCTCAGTCCCATGACCCGTGAGATCATGACCTGAGCCAAAATCACGAGTTGGTCACCTAACCAACTGAGCCACCCAGGCGCCCCTGGCTTTGACTTTTTAAATGGTTAAAAGAATTCTAACAATAATAATTTCATGACATGAATATTATGTGACATTTTAAAAACATGAAATTCATATTTCAGTATCCATAAATACAGCTTTGTTGGAACACAGTCACACCCATTTGTCGATGAACAAAGTCATTTGCCAACTGATGGTTTATTCAATGTTAAATTCCCTTATATATCTTATTTCCTCCATTGCTCTGTCTGCTCCTAAGCCAGCACCACCCTGAACAACAGCTTCATAATCTTTGTCTAACTTGTGGGCCTCATTCCCACTATTAGTCTGCCTTTTCAGGGGTCTCTGCAGTCTAGTCTCATACACTTTGAGAATCGTTATCACTCTTCGTTTCTGAATCCCTACCTCACCCCATCCTGGTGGCATGTTTATTAGGGTTGCATTGAATTTATAGACTAATTTAGCGAGTTTTAAACCTAGTTTTGGTAAAATACTAAGTATTTTTTTCAATCTTTGAAAGTATTTTGAATTCCTCTGTATTAGAAATCTGTCATCTCTTTTATGGCATGAGATAATACTTTTTGTTTTGCTTAAAGCCAGTTAATTTTAAATCATTTTTTTTTAATTAAATCGGTTTTTGAAAGCTATGATTCCTTTTCATGATCTCACTGAGTAAATGAGGTTGATAATTTATTATTCTAGAAGAGCATATGTTCTTCTCCAAAAGTAATACGGGCTTAGAACTCTGACCTCTTTATTCCAAACTCTTTGAGATAGTGAAGGCAATTTTTTGCCAAAGAATCCTGTAAAGTCCTTTCGGTTTGCATGATCTGGCCTCTGCTTGCCCTTCCAGCCCCCTGTCCTTCATCTCCCTATTCTGATAGTGGGCTCTGACCTGCTAAACGCCAGAGCTTTTCTCCTCACAGTGCAGGCACCAGCAGGAAGACTGAGTCCGTGGTGACACGCACGAGTGATTGCACATCCATTAGCATCAGCAAAGTTGATCTGGGTTTGCCCGGGCACTAAGCTATTTGTCTGTCTAAAAATTCATAAGTGAAAGAGCTTCTCTAATTGAAATTCCTGAAAAGCATGATTAATTATGCCAAACCTCTCCTCTGCCTGTTGGCATTTTTACTGCTCTTGTTTCGTGAACTCAAAACATCCCCACTTTGAGCTAGCTGCCTTCCCAGTAACCTCCTTAAGTGAAACCAGTTGCCAGTTAGTGGTTTATTTACTTCTCAGATGTTTGTCCTTCTTGTACACCCCACTGTATTTTCATTTTCACTATTTGTTTCTCCAGTGATAGGTATTTGATCATGTATCTTTTATCTTTACAATGTCTAATACTTAACGGATGCAAATAATAATACAATCTTTAAAAGTTTACTGAATAAATGAATGGGGTTAGATGGGGTTATAGTTTGTTTTGTTTCTGAAACACATATCACTCCTAAAAAAATGGGAGACTTTAGGCAGCCAAGTATTTATTTAAGATTGCTCCTAAGACTCTCTGTCTACCTAAAGAGGGCCTTATTCAAACCCTCTAGTGTATAGGAGTGAAAAGTTTCCAAGTAATCAAAATTTGATGAACGGTGAACTTTAAATTAGCTAAGTCCAAGCAGAGCACATTTAAACTTGGAGTTACTAGTTGCCAAACTGAATTTATAAAAGTATGGTCATATAGGGGTGCCTGGGTGACTCGGTTGGTTGAGTGACAGACTCTTGATTTTGGCTGGGTCATGATCCCAGGATCGTGAGATCCAGCCCCATGTCAGGCTCTGTGCTCAGTGGGGCATCTGCTTGAGATTCTCTCCCTCCGTCCTTGACCCTCGTTCTCTCTCTAAAAAAATTAATCTTTAAAAAAAAATTTAAGTATAGTCATTTAATCAAAAAGAACATTAAATATAGTTACATTTAATAAGATTAAACATTCTATATTTTTAACCACTGCAAATTTAAGTTGCTCAAGTTTTTCTAACTCATAATATTGGCTTATATAGTGTGGTAAGAACTGCCGTCTGTTCTCGCAGCCTGAGTAGATGAGCATATGGTAATTGTACTTTCCTTTTTAGAAAATTAAGCTTTAACTCAGCATTATTCCTAGGCTCTACAGTGAATGTTAATATACTATCAGTTACTCTGGTATCAAAACCCAATACTTCTTATTTAAAATACTCTTACTGGGTTGTTTGGATTACAAGATTACTAAATCTGTTAAACAGAAATTATCTTGTAAATTCTTTTTGGTGTTCACACTTTGTTGTTTGGCCATAGGTACACATGAGAGATCGAGAAATTGCTACTACAGCGAAAGACCTAGAAATGAGACATCTGGAACTCGAATCACAAAAAAGACATTATGAGAAGGTATAAATCATCTGTTTCCATGATGAGAGAAGCAGGGTTTATGCAAACTCTTTTTAGGTTGTATTTATTCATGATTTTGTAATGTTCATTTTTTTTTTTTAAGCAGAATATAGTGTCATCCAGGATTGTAAGGTAGCCAAAATGTCTGAATATACAGTTTGTTGTAATTCTTTAATTCATGTTTCTCTTAGCGACTTAGTCTAGTGTCTGAGGTACCAGATGTAAGTCCCAGATTTTGCCTCATGATTTTCTACCAACTTACTAAGTTTTCTGTATCTGTGTGATAGTGACTACAAAATTAACCTGGTACTTCATAAGGATCTTTGTAAGTAAGGTAAATCAGACAAGAGCTGTAAAGTACTTTAAATTTGAATCTTCTGGAAATAAATTATCAAGTATCTACTTAGAATATATAATTTAGTTTCCACGACATTGGAAAAAGGAATTTTGTTAAATATAAATATTTATTTGGGAAAAGCATTTTGTTACTTAATGTTGAAGCCGTAAGTTTTCACTTCCTTCAGCCCTCTTTTAAAGTGAGACTTTGAAATTAGTGATAACTGCAAATATGTAACAGGTAACATATGATTGTTATTCACATTAAATAAGATTTAAAACTTATGGCATCCATTCGTATCTACAACACTTTTTAAGTTCCACACTGAACTACTTCTAGAACTGAGCCAGGGATTTACACCCTAAGTCTCCTATAATTTTGAATTAGATTCAATTCATTTGGGACCAAACCTAAATTTACTTTTTACTGTCTTTTCTTTGGGGGAGGTGGGTGGTGGCACCAGCAGGGCATGATTTCAGAATTAACATAAAATTTGCAAGACAAATACTAAGAATTTCCAAATATGTTTTTCTCAGATTCTCAAATATTAACACGTTGCTAAATTGGCATTATCCTTCTCTTTCTGTGTATGTACATGTACACACGTAGATAAATTTTTTTTCTGAACTTTTTAGGAGAAAATTGCAAACCTGATGCTCCTTTCCCCCTAAATGCTTCAGTGTATATTTCCTAAAACCAAGGAATCCTTATCACATGACCACAGAACAATGATCAAAATCAGGAAATGAACATTTTATTGTTATCCACTGTATAAGCCTTATTCAGATTTTATCAGTTGTGGTAAAAATGTCCTTCAGAGCAAAAGAAAATCTCAGATAATCCATTTTCTCAGTTGTCACGTCTCTTTAGTCTCCTTTATGTTGGCACCACTCCTGAGTCTGTCTTTATATTTTATAACATTGATATTTTTGAAGCATTTGGCCAGATATTTTGTAGAGTGTCCCTCAGTTGGCATTTGTCTGTTGTTTCCTCATGATACAATTCAACTTACACGCTTTGGGCAGGAATGCCCCAGAAGTAATGCTGAGTCTCTTTCTATGGATCATTATCATTTTTGCCCTCTTTTGAGGAAAGTATTTATTAAGCAAACTACTAGAGTTAGAGAAGACCAAGCCTACTCAACAAAACTAACTTATAAAATCATGAACTTTATCTGGTCCGTTAGATTCAGATGTGCAGCTCCTGCCATTTTCATCAGTTTTAGTGATTAACACTTTATCTGCCAAACTTAGCTCTTAGATTAGTTTGATTAACTGCATCTATTTGTAAACAAATCATATCCCAGAAAACAGACAATATTGTGATGACCCCTATTGGAAATATATGCTCAATATCCCATATATATCTAATTTGAATAAAAAAAATTTTTTTAAGATTTTATTTATTTATTTGACAGAGAGACAGCGAGAGAGGGAACACAAGCAGGGGGAGTGGGAGAGGGAGAAGCAGGCTTCCCGTGGAGCAGGGAGCCCGACACAGGGCTCAAACCCAGAACCCTGGGATCATGACCTGAGCCGAAGGCAGATGCTTAATGACTGAACCACCCACACACCCCTGAATAAAATTTTTTTAACAAAAGAATAAAACTAAGCATAAACCAACAAGCACATACTGCCCTCTGACCAGATTCCATCCCCTCGTCTCCTAGAACCCTGTTTCACCAAGTCCAATTTTGGTCTCTTGTCTCAGTCTCTCTCTCAGGCACGTGTACATTCTCCTTGGCCTAGGACCACCCTTGCCAAGACTGCTGTGAGAATTAAATGAATTAATATCTATATGTCAGTGACAGGAGTCCCCAAGACTACCCTCAGGTTCAGCGATTTGCTAGAAGGACTCACAGAACTCAGAAAAGCTGTTATACTCATGGTTATGGTTTATTACACCGAAAGGATACAGAGTAAACTCAGCCAAGATAGGGGCGCCTGGCTGGCTTAGTCAGTGGAGCATGCCACTCTTGATCTCGGGGTCATGAGTTTGAGCCCCATGATGGGGGTAGAGATTACTTAACAACAACAAAACACCTCAGCAAAGGTAAAAGGCACATAAGGTGAGTCCGGGAGAGACCAGGCACAAGCTTCCCCTTGTCCTCTCCCAGTGGAGTCATACAGATAGCGCTTAATTTTGCCAGCAACACATACAGAACATTGCCAACAGGCAAACTCAACTCGAGTCTTAGTATGCAGGGTTCTACTGGGAGTCAGTCACATAGGCATGGAGTGTGCATGTGCCTGACCCTAGTTACTGGCTCTGCAGAGGTCAGGCTGATACAGTGTGTCCTACAGCTCCTACCATAAGCCACATGATTAGCACAAACTATCTGGCAGAGCCCAGCGGCCCAGGCATACAGAGACACTCTTACCAGGCAGGGGATTCCAGGGGTTTAGAGCTGGTCAAGGGCTAATGTTTCCTTTGGAATGTGCAGGATTTGAATAACTCCAGCTACTAAGTTACCCTTCACCCTTACAGTGTCTGGTACTGGCAGGAGCTGGGCAGATACTAGTTTCCCATCATTGTCCCTTGGCCTAAAACGCTCTACCATTTTACAAAATGGATGGACAACTTCCGCCATCTGCTTTAAACCACCGCCTTGTCTTCCTTCCTCTTCGCTGTTTGTAGATTTCCATTGTTTTCCTCCTAATCCCTAATCTCTGCACATACATCATTTTACCTCTTGATGGAGTAGATGAGATTCTGTATTCTGCTTTTCTTTTTTACTTAATAAAATCCCTTTTCTAAATGACTACATATCTTGGTTGTCATTTGTAGTAGATATTGATGATCCATAACCTATTTAAACTTTTTTTCTGTCGTTGGATGTTTAAGTGCTTTACAATTTGTGACAATAAAATTCTTCATACATATATCTTCTCTACATAACACTGGAAAACATTTTTTATTTTTCATTATGAAGGTAATTATGTTGCCAGTAGATAATTAGAAAAGTAGAAAAAAATCCCTAAATTGGGAAATAACTGCTAATATCATTAATAAGGATAAGTGAGATTATTTGGTACATACAGTTGGTATTTTGCTTTTTTAACTTAAATTTTCATGAATACTGTTTGCTATCCTTCCCTTCAACCACTGTACTCATTAGCACTCACTTCCCCAGTCCCCTGACCCTGGCAAGCACTTATTTACTGTCTCGATGGATTTGCCTATCCTGACATTTCGTTTAAATGAAATCATACAATGTATAGTCTTCTGTGACTGGCTTCTTTCACAAAGCATAATGTTTTCAAGGTTTATTCATATAGTGGCATGAGTGAGTACTTCCTTTTTGTGGCTGAATAACATTCCCTTGTGTGGATAAGACCACGTTTTGTTTATCCATTTATCAGTTGGTGGATATTTGGGGTTGTTTCCACTTTTTGGCTAGGATGAGTAGTACTACTATGAACATTCATGTACAACTTTTTGTTTGAACATATATTTTCAGTTCTCTTAGATAATGTACCTAGGAGTGTAGAGTTCTAATTTCTCTACATTCTTGTGAACATTGTTTTTATCTGTCCTTTTGATTGTTGCCATACTGTTGGGTGTGAAGTGGTATCTTGTGGTTTTGATTTGCGTTTTTCTAATGACTAATGATGCTAGTCCACGTAGTGATGCTTTCATATATTTATAGGCCATTCTTATAACTTCTTTGGAGAACGTGTGGTTAATGTCTATTCAGAGTACGTGGAGCCATTCTTTTGGTTTTTAATATCTCATGTAATTTTTTGTTGAAAATGAGATATTTTAAATACTGTAATGTGGCAGTTCTGAAAATCAGATTCTCCCGCCTCCTCAGGGTTTCTTGTCTCTTTACTTAATGACTTGTCTGAATTAATTCTGTAAAGATTAATTTATAGAACTAAATTAAAGTCTTTACTCAGTGTTAGTGACCCGACAGAGATTTCCATAGTTGCCTTGAACCAGTACGCTTCTAGTCTTTGCCAGCGAGCTCTGTGTGCACTGTGTTGGGGCATGCCTTCAACACTTAGCTCTGTAGTTTACAACTGCGTCTCAGATTTCACTTCCTGACCGTGCAGTACCTCAGTTCACCAGACTTGAGAGCCCAGGACCTTCTCTGAAATGAGCGTTCACATAGCCCTTGCCATGTGTACAGCCTTACACATGCATGTGGACTTTTAGGGTCCCAGGAATCTATCAGAGCTTTTCAAAGTCCCCTACAGACATCTGATTCTCCAATTTTTTTTCTGTAAATCTTTTTGATTAACTTGTGGTTTACACTGTGATCCACTGCCTCAGGCAGCCAAGATAGTCAACAGTTTCCTCTGATGTTTTTCAGCAAACGTCCCCAGGGAAAAGGCTGTTCAAAGGAGTGAGTTCTGAGTCAGGACAGATAAAGACAGCCTTGGGAGTGGGTTCTTCCAGAACACCAAATAGGTCAAATGGAGTTTGAAGGAGCTCCAGCTCCACTTTATCTCCTCCATTGGCTGCCAGGCTACTGGTTTTCAAGGCTAATGCAGAGTTTAGGGGTGGGGTGGGACTAGGGATAGTGCAAGTTAAAAATGCCCTAAGGGTTACTCTTCTTACCAAGACTCAGCCTTTTTTTTTTTTTTAATTTGTTTGTATTTGTTAAGGACTCAGCCATTTTTATGAGTAAATGCTCCCCAAATTGCTGCAAGCCTTTGGTTAATTTCCAGAGTTCTGAAAAAGTTGGTTGGCCAGTGTTCTCAATGCTTTTTTGGATGAGAGAATTTTCAGGGGTCTTTTCTTGTATTTTCCGTGATGTCTCTGCTGTTTGCTTTTTACTTTAAAAATCAAATGCCAATTTTTTATTTGTGTGCTAGTATTCTAGAAAAAAAAAGTCATTTTGTGTTCTAGCATTATTATATAGATTTGTGATTTTTTTTACAATTGATTTTTTTAACAGAATCTTATTAGAAATCAGGAAGCTGTTGCAAAAGAAATGAGAGAAGATGCAAATGCCTTTAGACAAAAAGTGGATCTTGAAGAACACATGTTTCATAAACTGATAGAAACAGATCAAACTCAGAACCAAAAAACTCAGAAGGTAAAAATATGGCAAATTTAGCGTATAGAGAGGGGGACAGGTCCGTCATTCTTTCATATATTTATTTTCCCCTGTCCTGCCCCCCCCCCGCATCTGTCATCCTTTCAAAAAAAAGAAATTCAAGATTAAACTCTATAAAGTTGCATTAAACTCTGTAAAGTTGCATTAATTCATTTCTTTGCTTCAGTTATCACAGTTCCTAGAATCTCACATTATTTTTACAGGTTACTCACTTCACTGCCAGACATATACGTGTATCTTTTACACTCTTAAGAATGTTAAGACTTAGGAGAAAATAAGAGGGAAATAGTAACATTATAGATACTAACCTACTGTGTTATGTCTCAGAAATTGTCCCTGAGTAGATTAGTTGCAAAACATCAGGTCTTTGCCTGGTATATAAGGCAGCATTTCCAAAGTATATTCTGTAGAATATTAATAACTATTACTCAGTAAAGTGGAGAGTGGCAAGTAAGTGTTGGAAGTGCTGTTTAAAGTTGGTTTTTTTCCTGCCACATTTGAGGATATGATATACTGTGAATCTTTAAGAAAATTTCCCAAACTTATTTTGTAGAATTTCTGTGGAGTACCCTTTCAGAAATGCTGGCTTAAGTGAATTGAAATAGAATCTGAGAACTTCAGGAAAGAACTTTCTCTATTATCCAGTTAGCAAAATGCTAAATGGGTCTTGTGGCAAGGCCTGGCCCTGGTCCAAAAGCCAGGAATAGTGTAAGATTTCCCTACCTTCTGTTCAACAACAATCCCTTACGTGGTCCCACCAGAATAGCCTACCATTTATTTTTCCTTGTAGGCTTTAGTCCAGTCTGTAAGAATGAGCTCTTCTGACTCCTTTTCAAAAAGGTTGAAAGATGGAAATTGTTTACTGCTTAGCCTAGAAATCCTCAACCTTGACTATGTATGCATTAGAATCACCTTGGTAAAAGTTCCAATATCCTTGGGGCGCCTGGGTGGCTCAGTCGGTTAAGCATCTGCCTTTGGCTCAGGTCATGATCCCAGGGTCCTGGGATTGAGCCCTGCATTGGGCTCCCTGCTCAGCAGGAAGCCTGCTTCTCCCTTTCCCGCTCCCCCTGCTTGACTCTCTTTTTGACTCTCACTCTCTGTCAAAAAATAAATAAAATCTTAAAAAAAAAAAAGTTCCAATATCCTGCAACCCTAGAGATTGATATAATTGGTTTGTGCTGGGTCCTGGACACCAGCTTGTTTTAAACACTGTGAGATGATTCTAATATGCAACCAAGGTTACAAACAGCTACCCTAGGGGCGCCTGGGTGGCTCAGTCGGTCAAGCATTCGACTTCCGGTTTCAGCTTAAGTGGGGACTCTGGGTCATGAGATCAAGCCCTGCCTCGGGCTCTGTGCTCAGCGCTGAGTCTGCTTACGGTTCTCCCTCTGCCCCTCCCTGCCATGCACTCTCTCTCAAATAAATAAATCTTTGAAAAACAGCTACCCTAGACACTTGGATGCATTGAACAGATACACTGTATTTTATATATAGTCTGACCTTGTTTCTGAAATCTGTAAATATTTCTTAGTTAATTGAAGAAAATTTGGCAAAAGCTGGACAAGCATGTCTAAATGCCGACTGGCGAATTCAAGCTTTATATAAACAAAGATGTGACGATCTGCGGCGAAACGAGTGTTACCAGGAAGTGGCCAGACTTCTTCGGGAAAACAGAAGGAAAGAAACAGAAGTATTAGACGCAATGATGGGGGAGGAAGCTAAAAAGGTAAGAATGGTGTCACAAATTTTTTGTTATTCATCATTTAAATTTTGAAATATTACATAATTGATGACAAAATCATCAAACCAGATAAATTTTGTTGGAAAAGATCTTAAAGATCATCTAACTGTAATAGGTATGTGCAGAGAAGTAATCTAATACGATACCTAAAAATGACTAGGCATCTTTCTTATTTACATTAGCACCTCTCAACTCAGCTTCCTTGAGTAGATTTGTTCTGGCTGATGGGATAATATTACTAATATTACCTAATTCTTGATTCTTACAATGTAGATGACTTTTAAACAGTTAGGGATTATATGTAGCTGCTACTAACAAAACCCGAAATAATAGTGACTGTAAGCAAGATGGACATGTTTTTCTTTTTCACATGAAAGAAGTGTGGAGGTAGGAAGTCCAGGGTTGTTTCCTGGCTCCGAGGTCATTAGGGTAATTGGCCCTTTCAGTCTTTCTGCACTGCTTCCTGGTGCATGGCTTTCCTTCTCAAGGATAGCTCACCATCCAAGATGACTGCTGGACCTCCAGCCATCACGTATGCATTCCGGCCAGCAGGACGAAGGTAGGGCAGACATATAAAAGGTCCAACTCCCAGCTGAGACAACCCTAACTCCTTTCCAGAAGTCCCATGTCACATTTCTAGCCACATTTGCCTGCACAGGGTGTTGGGAAATATGGTATATTTAGCAAGGAGCATTATCATCCCAAATAAAATTCGAATTCTTTTCCTAAAGAAGAATCAGAGAAAGGATTTTGAGGCGGCAGCTAAGAGTTTATGTCATGTCACGCAGATGTATCCTTCGGTTGATCCTGTGAGCAGCTCTGGTACCCACGCTCTGCAGATCTTACCACAGACGGACTTCCCTGAGGACACTGAAGAGCTAGGGAGAGATCAGGAACCAGAGAACTGGCTGTAGTTCATTCCTCTTTATTCTGCTCTGTTGTGACGTCTATTCCAAAAGCTTTTTATAATCTCTTTCCTTCAAGTCACTATTCCTATTCATCTTCCTGCTACGCCATCTAAAGGGTACACGGCCCTATCTGATAACACTTTGAGTCAAGGACGGGGGGGGGGTACCCGCTGAGGCTGCATCCCCCAGGACAGTCGCAGTGGAGGCCCATGTCTTCAAGCATCGGTGCTAGACTGTGCCGTGTTCAGTGCTGCTGGCCTTGGGGTAAAGTGGTATATTTGAGAGTGGACACAGAATCACAGTGAGGGCTTTTCCTGTTATACAGAGATGCTCCCTTGTATCTGGTGTCCTGAGTTCTAAAGCTAGCTTGACTACCGTGTGGCCTTAAAATCACTCAGACTCTCGGGCGCCTGGGTGGCTCAGTTGGTTGGGCGACTGCCTTCGGCTCAGGTCATGATCCTGGAGTCCTGGGATCGAGTCCCGCATCGGACTCCCTGCTCAGCGGAGAGTCTGCTTCTCCCTCTGACCCTCCCCCCATCTCATGTGCTTTCTCTCTCTCTCATTCTCTCTCTCTCAAGTAAATAAATAAAATCTTAAAAAAAAAAAAATCCCTGACTCTCTCTCCTCCTCAGTAACAGGAAAAGACTGGATTTCTGTGGTCCATCCTGGCCCTGATGATTCTTTGAAGTTGTGTTATTTCATGCATTCGCATTTCTATGACAAAGACTCTGTGTGTGTTTGTTTATAGGAGCTGTGGCATAGAACACTGACGAACTTTAGGAGTTGTGGGATATCTTAACTGCATTATTTTCATTACCCTTGAACTAATTTTAAGATCATCATTTTCTCACTTTATGAAAAAGAAAGTCAGGGTTAATAGAAATTCCTCGACTTCCCTGAGATTGGTCAGCATGTGTACTGGAGCTGGGCAAATTTTATTAAGGGATAGCATTCAAATTAAATAAGACCATTGTCATGAATTTAAAAAACTAGCTTGGGCGCCTGGGTGGCTCAGTTGGTTAAGCGACTGCCTTCGGCTCAGGTCATGATCCGGGAGTCCCGGGATCGAGTCCCACATCGGGCTCCCTGCTGAGCAGGGAGTCTGCTTCTCCCTCTGACCCTCCTCCCTCTCATGCTCTCTCTCTATCATTCTCTCTCTCTCAATAAATAAATAAAAATCTTTAAAAAAAAATAAAATAAAATAAAATAAAAAATAAAAAACTAGCTTAGGGGCGCCTGGGTGGCTCAGTCGTTAAGCGTCTGCCTTCGGCTCAGGTCATGATCCCAGGGTCCTGGGATCGAGCCCCGCATCGGGGTCCCTGCTCGGCGGGGAGCCTGCTTCTCCCTCTTCCTCTCCCCCTGCTTGTGTTCCCTCTCTCGCTGTGTCTCTCTCTGTCAAATAAATAAATAAAATCTTTAAACAAAAACAAAAACAAAAAAAAACTAGCTTAATCCCACAAGATTCGACATGTATTGAAATGACTTGTTTCAAAGACAGTGGGCACACCCAGTGTGCTGTGTGGCCCCCTGACGTACCGAGTGGTACGTGAGAAGTGCCTCTGCCCTCAAGGTCAAAGGCACTCAGGTTACCCTAAAACAGATCCTGCATGCCATGGGAATCCCAAAGGAAGTGGAGTAGAGGAAACAAAAGGGACTTACTCCACTGTCGGAACCAACATTACCGCAACTTTTAGGTGATTTTTCTTTTCTTTCATTTATTTGCATATAGTGGGAGGAAGCTAAAGAAAAAGACTTTCATTTGAAATCAGAAAAGAAAGCTTCAGCTCTCGCAGATGCATCTAGAAAGTGGTTTCTAGAGAAAGAGATAAATGGTGCTTTAGAACATGCTGAACGTCCATATAGTAAAGGTGAGTATCCATGAGTGCCTTTCTCTTCATGAAATTACAGACCCGTGTACTTCCTGTGCTCTGCTATCACGAATAAATCCCTGAGGTACACTTTATTCAAATTAGTGCTCAGCTGAAAGGTGATCACTCACTAGTCACCCTTTTTTTGGTTGCTGGGACTTTTTTTGGGGGGAGTGGGGTTTCGTTTTGTTTTGTTTAAAAAAAAAACTCTGATCAAGAAAGCTCTCAACTATCCTGTACAGTTCTGTTTTATTCCATGGTTCCATGCTCCTTGTTATCTTCTTAATCTATCAGAATATGATTTGTTCCCAAAGTGCTTCTAGTTTATTTTGGTAAAAATGTGTGCTTTGCCAATAGCTGGTCCTCAAAACAATAGTATAGTAAAGTAGCACAAGGAAACTTACTATAACCCTTGGGTTTTGGTGCCAGACTTGGAATGGCAACTGAAAACCTAAATTACTTAGAATTCTAAAATCAAGTGCAGTTACAGTGAACTTTTATTTTACTACATTTTGTATTCTAGTCTTTTTTAATATATATGGATTACCTTTTTTTAGTAACAGTCTTACTGATAAATAATTCACATACCATATGATTTACCTATTTAAAGTATACAGTTGTGTGGTATTGCCATATGTAAAAAATATATATATATTCACAGAGTTGTGCAGTCATCACTGTAATCAATTCTAGAAGGTTCTAGTGCCCCATAATAAACCTTGTATCCATTTGCAGTCACTCCCCATTTCCCCTCACTCCCTCCCAGCCCCTGGCCACCACAGATCAACTTCCTGTGTCTATAGATTTGTCTAGTCAGGAAACTTCATATGAATGGAATCACACACTCTGATCTTTTGGGTCTGACTTCTTTCACTTTGCATGATGTTTTGAGGTTCATCCACGCTGTAGTATGCATCAGTATGTCATCCTTTCTGTTGCCAGTATGCCATTGCGGAGGTATTCCACATTGTATTTATCCATTCATCATCAGTTGATGAGCAATGAGGTTGTGTCCACTTCTTGGCTTCTATGAATAATGTCGCTGTGGGCGTAACTTCTGTAATTCACACATTTGAAAAGTAGAAACGTAGGTTAGAAGCATCAGCATTTAATTATGCCTACTTTTGAAACTCTTCATTAGCTCTCCTGCTTTAGACTCAGGTCCCGGATTGCCCCCCTCCCCCCGGCCCCTGGGGCAGGAGGGAGGGGAATGTCACTCTGCACAAAGCAAATATTTACAGCTGGCTTACAAGAGAGAGTAAGCAGTGGAGCTGCTACCTGTCCCTAACCCTCTCACACTTACCCCTCCTCTAGAAAGAAACGATGCTTGAGGCTGTTCGAGAACCTATGGATTTAGAAATAGAAAAAAGGAAGAAACTGCAGAAGCTTCCCCTTCGGTCATCAGTCATCTTCCCGCATGCTGGCCCCTCTGCCGCTGTGGGGTCGTCCCACCGAGCTACCTAAATTTTTTTTAACTTTCCTAAATTTCACCAATGTGAGATCATTTGGTTAATATAATCATACATTTTTCAAAAGGCAAACGTGTAAGGATTTGTCACTTTCTTAATCAGGGTGTATAAATGAAATCAGAGTCACTTGCTCTTAACACTGGGAGATAATCAGCTCTAATTAGGAAAATGGCATTTTGATTGGAGACGCTTGGCATTTGTTTGTCACTCAGGGCCCAGAATGGAGACACCAGGAAGTAGGAAACAGAGAAGAGTTTGCCAAAGATGGGTCATTTATTTTAAACTTTTTTAAATGGGTGGTGGGCATCTGAGTGGCTCTGTCGGTTAAGCGTCTGACTCTTGATTTCAGCTCAGGTCATGATCTCAGGGTCCTGGGATCCAGCTCTGCGTTGGGCTCTGTGCTCAGCATGGAGAGTCTGCTTGAGATTCTCCCTCTCCCTCTGCCCTCCCCACACTCATGCTCTCTCTCTCTCAAAATAATAAATCTTTAAAAAAATAAATAAAATTTTTGCTTAGTATCAAATCTTTATTAGCACTGAGGAGGAAATTCTTATTATTTTCGAGAAAACAGGACCTTCTGGACAATGTGAATGGCCCTTGCTGCCCCTGAAATCCGTGATCCATAAACTTAAATTGTAGCTGAACAGCCATGTCCTATAAAATGATACCAGTGCAGAGTTTTAAATGGGCAAAAGACTTGAATATACAGTTCTCCAAAGAAGATACAGATGGCCACAGTACACACAAGAAAAGACTTTTAACTTCATCAGTCACTAGGGCAATGCAAACCAAAACCACATGTGAAAAGTAAAAATACAAAAACAGAATGAGATACGATTTCACACCCACTAGCGTGACTATAATCAAACATAGCAAGCGTTGACAAGGGTCAGAGAGAAATGGGGACAGGGCTGGAGGTTGTGTGAAATGGCAGGCGCTTTGGCACATACTCTGGTGGATTCTCAGAAGGTCAAACATAAAGTGGCTGTATGACCTAGCAGTTGCGCTCATAGGTATGTACCCAGGAGATTCGGAAACGAGTCCGTACAAAAACCTGTACAGGAACGTGCATGCTGCATGCCCCTAACACAGAACGCTGGGAAGCTCGCCACAGCGCCGGAAGATCAGGACTGCCATGCCCCTAGGTCTTACCCCAACCCTAGCATGGCTTCTGAGGGGTCTGTCCCCAGAGGCCTGGCTCCAAAGCCCCAGGGATTGTGGACACCTGAGCAATACCAGAGGACTCAGGCTGCCACCCAGAAGGAAACCACGCCATTTGGAACTCCAGAAACCATATCTGCATGCCCATTCCAGCGAACCCCCACTTTCTGCCGGCTCCTTGGGCGCAAACCATGAGCCTGACACTCCCTTGACCCATGCTCTCAAATCAAACTCCTGGGAAGCTCACCACAGTGCCAGCAGATTGGGCCTGCCATTCCTCTTGGCCCTAACCCTAACCATAAGGAGGAGTTTTTGCTTTTATTGTTTATGTGTTCAAATGTGTTACCATTAGCATTTATTATTTTTTTGTAAATTGCAGATTTAAAAAAAAAAAAAAACCCTCTTAAGGACCTCACCAACAGTGATTTAATTTGGTAGATCTAGGATAGAAGCTAGGAAACTGGATTTTCATTTTAAAATTTCATAGGTGAGTCTGCTCAGCCAGTGTTTGAAACATGGCTGCCGGCCGCGAGGACCATTCAGTGCTGGGACAGAGGTGATGTTTACACCATGGCCCTTCAGGAAGAGGAAGGAAACAGCCCGGGCCAGTATGGCTCTTGGAGGACAGAGGAGAGACAAGGGCCAGAGAGGTCTCAGATAGGGAAGGGTCTGGAGAACCAGGATCTGCTGTGCAAATCATTGCTGCAGTGGTGAATGGTGGGTATCCAACTTATGCCAGAATATCATGGAGCTGGCGAGCTCACTACCCAATTCCATTTCTGCCAGTATTTTATTTACAAGCTGTGTCTCCTTGTGTAAAATTGAATGTCTTTTTTTTTTTTTTTTTGTAAATTCCCTCATTAGAAACAGTTCTTTGGTGCAAATGCAGATTACATCTACTGCCTCTGCCACATGACAGCCCTTCACATATTTGAAGATGACTCTCACATCCCATTTCCCCACACCAGTTCAAATGAGTCATTTGGTAATCAGCCCCAAATAGTCTTAATGACTCATTGAGCTAAAACTGTGAGTTAAAACCATTAGTTACGGCCCTTGAGACCAGGTAAAAGGCAGGCATCTTAATGAGTCAATGTAACTCAGACAGTCTGGGCCTGGTTCTTAGAGGCTTGGACCCTAGTGATGGGAGTAGAAAGGGACAGTCATGACACTTGCTGGCCTGAAAAATTAAAAAAAAAAAAAAAGACCTTGGTGTCTTATTGAAAAAGTACAAGAGTTGGGGAACAGTGAAAATACGGCCAAGGGGCCAGTATAACTTTTGAGGTGAGTGATTGACCAAGAAACGGCAGGGAGGCACCAGGTTGGTGCCGGAACCCTGCTCTGCTTGCTGTTCTGGAAGGTTTCAGGGGCTTCAGGGGCAGCCTGCCTCTCGCTGGTTCTCACGTGCTCTCTGTTGCCGCGATTAGGCCCCGCCCGGTGGAAGCTGCCAGGGGTAGACTCTGGGGAGCTCTCAGGGAAGGCTTGCTCATCACATTTCATAATCTTGTCCAAGAAATATTTGGGATCTCTATCCTAACATCTCTATTTTTGAGTGGTTGGTTTGTTGGCTTTTTGTTTTAGCTAAAGGTGTTTTTAAAATACGTCACCAAAACTTCAGCTCTTTACTGCACTTGCCCTGCCCTTAGAGTGGGGACAGAGCTCTTCTCAGAACAGAAGTGGGGGCTTTTCATCCTTGGCAGTTGTCATTTCTTAGGGACTGTTTGGAATTCAGAACGGCTTTCCACTCACTCCCAAACACCTGTATCTGCTCTCTTGTATAACAGCAGTGCCCAGGTACCAAATTGGACAGGTCGCCTCAAGCTGCTTGCCTCAAACCTCACAATTAAATGACATTTCAGAAATGGATTCCTCAACATGCAGTAAGTTGATAAGCAAGAAATCTTTCTTCCATCATTTAAAATGTAGCATTCATTTAAGCAAGACCGTGGCTTGAATTTTATTTGCAGCATGCTGATGCCATTTTCCCAGGGATTGATAATGGAAATTCCTGAAATGGAGAGAGCAGGGTTCTCAGCTATTCTAGCTGGAGAGCAAACTGAATCAGACCGAAACCAGGTAGAGAACGTTTGCCAGATGAATGTCACTGACGTGATTTCCTTTCTCTGATACTAGTCATAGGCGCCTACAGAAGTCTGTCACTAACTAAAGTAGTGATATTCACAACCAGTTTTTACACCCTCGTGGAGAGAAAATCTGAGCATTAGTTTTCAAAGCTATTACGTATTTGAATTTTCTGACTCTGTTCTTCTGGACTGGGCCCTGTCCAATAGCCACTAAAGACAGGAGTTTTTGCTCGGGGCCCTGTGGTGGCCCACCGGGGCCCCTAGCGGCCCACCTGCCCAAGACAAACGGCTTCATGCTGAATGGCTGACGTTTGATCCCTCCGCTTGATTCCCTGCAAGTTTTTGTTTATGTTTGCAAGGGACAGGGTGGAAACGTGATACAGAAATAGAATCACAGCATTAGCCCATAAAGGAGCTGACGGTTTTCCCAATAAAGTATTTGATTTCTTTTTTAAAACGGGGGAGGGAACAAGAAACTCTGTTAGACTTCGATTTCAACTGACATTTTCAACAAAACCATCATATAGAAGAAGCAAAATTTAACAAGATCTTTTGAGTTCTTTTAGAAGAACAGATTCTTACACAGTGTCCCCTGAAGACAAGCTTTATAAAAAATATCCCTAGTAACAGGGCGTGTGATTCCAGTGTTGTAAATTTTTGCTAACTCATGCTTCATGTGCATCCACAGATTCTGTGTCAGAATAGGAATTAAACCAAAAGTCACGTGTAAGTTGAACGAAAGTACACAGGATTTCCATCTGTTCTTTAGTCCGACATGTCAGGACTTAAATTTTTAGTTAGATAATTCTAAGTTAGAAAATCAAATCAAGACGTTTGGTAAGCTCAGATTATTTAGCAGAAAACAAAACATAAAAGTTGTATTCCTGTGGAGGAAAATATCATGTTCAGAAATTGGAGCTGTTTGACTATGTAACTAAGTTTGAGAGAAGTGTACTTTTAAGGTGCTTTTTTTTTTCAGATTGCAGTGTTTACTAGCCCCTCAAACGCAGTATGAAATGGCTGTTGCATGTGGATACATTGTAATATTTTAATTGGACGCTCCCTGTGTTGGCCACTATGAAAACCATTTGATTTATTTATTTTTATTTAGTCATTGGGAAAGTAGTCTTGGTGTACTTTTCTAAATATTTTGGCAACTTGGAATGCTTTTTCTCATTATCATTAAGCCACTCACCCTCTCTTGGACAAGATTTGTTCCTGATCTAAAAGATTGTCTATAGTTTATAGCCCCCAAATTTAAAAACAAGTGCTACATAAACAAAAGCAAGTAGGTTCTCTCATAGCCTTCATTGAATTCAACAAATAAATATTTGGCTTGTAAATGGAACAATATAGGAACCAATAGGTGAGGCTTTTTTGTTCGAGAAATTTGGTTTCTCGAATATTCATTTCATTATTGGTTTTTGACAACGTATTTACCTTTAAAATAAATGCTATATCGCTGCTAACATCGGAAAATTAAACTGTTGTTAATTTTAAATTTTGTTTTTGAAGTTTCTTTAAATCAAAGAAGAATACAGTGGGACACCATGGAGCGGGAACTTGCAGAGAGAGTACGAAACCTTCGCCAAAGACTCACCGTCCAGGCCCGCAACAGACGTCGGCCGCCTCCCCTTTTGGCCACATAGGGGGCTTGAGAGAGTCGGAGAGACACCCGTTTTGCAATCAGTGACACTGATTTTCAGATTATTTATTTTATATCCCGACAGAGGTCAACCTTTTTGTACAGAAAAAAAATGTGTGTATAAAAATTATGTGTACTATTTCGTCCTGATGCTTTGGGCTTATAAATGGCTTCTTGTAACTTTTTATAATAAAATTTTTGAAGTTTTAAAGCTTGTGTTAGGCTCTTTCAGGTTGCAAGGACCAGCATAAACCTCTGACTTGAGTTGATGGGTGTTTATTTTAAAGATAAACGGAGAAACAAAGGATATCATCTCAACATCTGTACAGCCAGAACTGAGAGAGAAGTCAGCAGGACATCTGGAGCACCGACTGTGCACGGCGGCCCTCTGTCCCCCAGCAGCCCCCCAGCAGCGGGGTCCCCCCTTCCCCAGGGAGCCCCGCCTGCTCTCCCCGCTCTGGCTCTTTGCTCCACAGCAGGGCTACTCACAACTTCCTCATCTTGGGTCATTATTTCCAGAACCTTCCCTGAACCCATTTCTAAAAGGAGGGTAGAAATCACTCGGGGACCCGATGTGAGGATTAAATTAAAATGTAAAATTCTGGGACTGTGCTTGACACAGAGTAAGCATGCAATACACAGTAGTAATTCTCGTGTCTGCGGTCATGAAGCATAATTTTTTTTTAAGCATAATCTTATAGTAAACCAAATACTGACAGTAAGCAAAATGCTCTCTTGTCCAATAGGCAAAGTCCTAATGCAAGGCATTGGTTTCCCAAGAGCACTTTCTCAGCCTGCTTCTCTGTCCATTTTCAGTCAGTGGCAAACGTGCCTTCATGGGCCAGGCTGGTGCGTGTCTGGCAACAGGAAGTCACGGAACGTAAAATGTACAGGGTAGAATGGAAAGTTGGGTGAACTCAAAATCGCTTGCTCACCTAAAAGGATTCAAATTCTAAAATATCCTGATCCAGCCAGAATCAGCTATATAAAGCCAGATTTTCACCTCTACTTCAGGTCCCCTTTTTACCAGCACTCACACCTACTCAGACTGGTTTTGCAAACACACACACCTCTTTTATAGTGTTACAGTATTTCATTTTTAAAAAGTTTCCATTTATCTAGTGACAGGCATACCCTCAACCAAATGAAGCTCTATCAATTCCTTCAGTTTTCTCAGACTCTGTAGTTCTCCCAATAATAGTCTTTTTTTTTTAAGTTTTTTTTTTTTTTTTTTTTTTACAGAGAGAGACACAGCGAGAGAGGGAATACAAGCAGGGGGGGTGGGGGAGGGAGAAGCAGGCTTCCCGCCGAGCAGGGAGCCCGACGCGGGGCTCGATCCCAGGACCCTGGGATCATGACCTGAGCCGAAGGCAGACACTTAACGACTGAGCCACCCAGGCGCCCCTCTCCCAGTAATAGTCTTGATCACGTCACTGCCATAGCAAATTTAAGATATTGGGCTAAATCTCTGGTCATATGTGCTTGGTTGGCATTTTCAGACTCTAGCACACATAATGTATGAACTAACTACATTTCTGATGATCTCTTCCTGCTTCTTGACATATCTTCAACTTAACCCCAATTTCTTTACAATGTAAATTCCCTGGGAATTGAAGAAAGGTTGAGCTTAGCTAAAATTCTTCCCACTCTGGCTATCTTCTAGAAGTTTCTCTCCAGGACTCCCTTGAGCTTGTTAAAGCAGAGCGGTTCCTACAGGCCTTTTCATATTTATTACATTCATAAGGTTTCTTTCTAGTGTGAAGTGTTCCATGTTGGATAAATTTGGGGCTTCAGCTGAATTCTCCACATCGGCTACACTTAAGGGTTTCTGTCCAGTATGAATTCAGTGGTGTTGAATAAATTATTCACTTGGTTAAAGGCCTTTTCAGATTTATTACATTCATATGGTTTTTCTCCGGTAGGAATTCTCTAAAGCTGAGCAGTTGAGCACTTGCTAAAGGCCTTTCCACAGTGATTCCACTTTGGCCAGTACTGCAGCCGCGGTGAAGGAAAGCACCACCATGGCTTAATTCGCTGGTACCAGTGCACTCGGCACAGCTTCTGGAGTCGTGTCTAGACCCAGCCAGGAGACAAACCACACGGCAATTTTAACAGGAAAAGTTTCAGATACAATGAGTTATGAAACTATGATAGAAGACTAACTTAAAGACGTAAAGAGCATTCTACAGGGTACCAAGGACTGAGGGAGAGTAAAGGACAGACTTGGAAAGGAGGCCCCCTCCCTCTGCAAGGCTCAGGTTCAGACCTGGTCAGAGAAGTTCTCTGGGTTGCCCAGGCCAGAGTCAGTCAGTCAGTTAGTCTCCGGGGCACAGGCGACCCAAGACCGCAGGGTCAAAGGGCATGGGGCGTCAGCGCAGCAGGCCCCTGAGTGTTGTCAGGGTGGCGCGCGCCTGGCCCGGCACTGTCCATGTCACAGGGCCATGGGACACCACCCTGCGCGCCCCGGGCAAACCAAGGCTGGAAGGCAGGTGCCCAGAGTGAGCCGGATGTTGCTGCTGGCATCAGACCTGGGACGTTCCCTGTCTGTGATGGGAGGATTGTGGCAACGTGATCATCAGGCGGAGGCTGTGAAGTCACTACGAGACTGTGCACTCTGGGCACACAGCCGGGGTGGAGTACCACTGGCTGTCCCCACAGCCTCCCACGGCCGGTGGACTGGGAAGCAAGAACCAGAAGGAGCAAAACAGCCCACTGGAAGGAGGAAGAGAAGGCCCATCCCTCCTGCGACGTCCGCCAGCGCCCCCTCCTGCCGGTGTGCCATCCTGCACAGTCATGCCTGAGGAGGCCCGTGGGTCACCGCGCAGCAAGGGAGGAAGAGGGAAATGGAAGCTGAGAGGCAGGAAGCCCGTGGCTGGCACTGCGGAGCCATTAAAAGCGGCTTTAACAGTTTACCCTGCTGATTGACAGAAATGTGGACTCAGTGTTGCTCTCTTTATAATCAGGGTTCAGAAGCCAAAGTTTGCCTGGCATGATGTAGCTGAAGGTTACATCTCCCCCTGATTTCGGGGGAGATGATAGGATTCCGAAGTAGCAGAGGCGGAGTGGCAACCATTCAGAGTAGCGGGCAGTGGAGAAGCAGTAGTAGTGGGGATTGGGGGCTACTGGTAACGGGTTGTGTTGTCCCTAAGGACGAATGAGTTGGCAGTCTACTAAAATGTGACTCCATGTATGTAACAGGAAAGCTTCCGGATCTGCTGGCTGAAAACCTGACTTGAGTCACCACAGTGGAGAGCCATGCCTGTCACCCTTTCCAGACCTAAACTTAGTTCCAAATCCACAGCCTCCTGACGGAGGAGAAGGCCAGCCCCCCACCCCCAGGAAGGATCCTGCATCAGTGAGTGACACTTATTATGCTATAAATAATCCCCCAAGTCTTTCCAAAGGGACCTGCTGCCATTTACCTTGAAGGACTGGCCCCAGCCCTGTCAGGGGCTCCTAGACATTGGCTCTAAATTGACACTAATTCCCGTGTCCACCAAAGTCAGGGCTAACGGTGGCAGGTGACGGGGCTTGGGGCGAAGCTGGAGTCACAGCGGATGCAGTGGGGCCCTGAAGCCAGCTGTGGTTATTCCCTGCGTACCTGAACGTATCCTCGGAAAAAAACCCAGCTGACAAACGGCAGGATCTCCGCACTGGCACCACGATTCCTTGAGCAAGGGACCTTATGGTAAAAAGAACAAAGCGAAAGCCTCTGGAAGACGCTCCCTCCCAGGATAGTGAGCGAGAAGTATCATCGCGTCCCTCGGGGCGGGGGGGGGACCTGCAGAGATTGGTGCCGCCATGGAAACCTGGCAGGACGAAGGGGCGATTACAGCGAGCACATCCCCACTTGGTTTGCCGTTTGGCCTGAGCTGAGGAGCAGTTACCGGGAACCGTCGGTGACGACCGCACTTGCAAGTGCACCTGTCTCGGCCGCAGGGGCAGCACGGCCCCGGGTCCCGCTCCGCCCCGCAGCCGCCAGCACCCCCTGCTAAGAGCGCTCCCCCACTCCCGGCCGCCCCCTCGGGTCTTGCCGCCTCCCAGCGCCGCAGGCCCACGCTGCCCGGTGGTGCTCAGCGCCCTCCGCCGCCCGGCCCGCTCGTGCAGGCCGCTTCCCGAGCCCCGCAGCCGCAGCGGGGGAGGACTGGGCGGCAGGGGTGCTGCCTCCTGGGCACCCCCTCCCCACCGCCGCAGCGCGCAGGGGAAGCTGCGGTTTTGTCAGAGGCGTACGGGGTCGCGGCCAGTCTCCTGCGTGTGTCCCCCTGTCGTCGTGCCTCGGCCTCCCTTCCAGTCCTCGGTCCCGGGCCGGGGGCAGAGAAGGAAGACCTCACAGCAATGACAGCGGGCGGGGACCGGTTCTTCCGGGAGGCGAGGCGGAGCCCAGCGACGCACCGGAGACCCCTCTGCGGAAAAGCGCGGACGCCGGGGTCTCCTTGTGCACAGACGAGCAAATAAAACCCGTCGTCCTAGCTGGAGTGGAGATGCAGGGCAAACAAAAGTATTGTGCCCCGTGTGAGGATCGAACTCACGACCTTCAGATTATGAGACTGACGCGCTACCTACTGCGCTAACGAGGCACCTACGAGCGCTTTCCGGCAGTAGGATAATGAGGCTAGCGCGGGCCCCGGCGCGCATGCTCAGATAAGAAACCCTGGTTTTATTTCTGTCTGCTCTGGGCTCCTTTGACCGCAGAGCCTGCCTGCTGGACTGTCGGTCAACAAACACTGTGGCTTGCTTGACCCACTGCGCTGAGTAGAGAGGACACGGAGGAGTGGGATTCTTCCTGCTTCTGTACTGTCTTATTTTTGAATACTGCGTACACAGCGTTTGCATACTCTTGATCTCGCG